AGCTGGTGTGTTGGGAAATGAACAAGCAGATAGACTGGCTTATTATGCATCCCTTGTGGCAAATTGATGCTTGACAAGCTAGTTTTAAGGGTTCTTTGGACATATTCATGACATTGTGGTGCTAGGGTGTCTGTGGATTACCTACCTCCCCGGGCAGCAGCTAGAAATGCCCTGTACCAGTTCTAAAGGAAATATGGGTTGTGTTTCTGCCTTCCCCTTTAACACGTAGCTAAGGTGGGGCTCACAGTGTGCTCATTCCCCGCCACCAGATTGCCTGCAGGTTTCGCTGAGCTCTTCATGGCTCTAAGCATGGCCTAAGCATGAGTAGTTGGGGCAACTGGATCGTCACGTCCTGAGTCCCTGTGCCTTCACGATAGTTTCCGGTATTCAGGGGGGTTAGCATACTTGTTTCCATTCCTAAGACTGTTCAGCACACCTCTGGCTCCTTCCCTCCCACAGGGGGCTGTACGGTGTGGTGCACCGGGTTTATTATCGAGGTTTGCTCCTATAGATCCATTGTGTTTTGCCTGGGGATTCGCACCCCCAGTTACCAGTACTACCTCGGGGAGGCTGTGACTCTTCGCCACGCACAATGGTCTTGAGGTAAGAGAGGTTTTGCTAGGTCAAGAGGCTGACACCACATGGACGCTCCGCAGATAGACTGGCTTATTATGCATCCCTTGTGGCAAATTGATGCATGACAAGCTAGTTTTAAGGGTCCTTTGGGAGCGAGTAAACAGTGGGGAGGCAAGCATTGATCATCATGGTCTGAGGAGAATGGTTTCGCGCGAAGTGACCAAGGGATCTATCCAACGCTCAACAGTCAGGGGACTGACGAGAGGGACTTACATTCAGAGTGTTCCTGGATCATGAGAACTGAGAATTAGTGCTCTGCGCTCGCTGTTGAAGATGGGGACGAATCGATTGTGGGAATGTCCCGAGGTCTATGATGTCGGTTCTGAACTAATATATTATTATTTTTATTCTCTACTTATGGAATGGCTCACAGCGTCAGGGCAGAAAAAGATCTATAAAACGGACCCTGCTGTTCGCATCGTATAAAGTACTTTTCAGTGTCTCTAATATTTCTGCAGTCCATCTTCGGCGCGGTCGACCTCTGGGTCTGTTACCCTTGTCTCTGTATAACATTGCTCTCTGTGGTGCCTTGACTGATGCCAATCTCTTTATCTGGCCAAACCATTTGATTTGCTGTCTACCTTTAAAGTTTAGTATTGGTTCTGTGACACTCTGCTCCTGATATTATCGTTCCGTAGTCAAACTTTCATTGTTACACCTAGCATAGTGTGTGTTCAAATGTTATGTGTGCCTCGTCATCATCATCCTAATCGTTATCAATTTGAATTGGCCAAATTCAACCGCTACATAGGGAGCTAACCTCTCCCAAATAACATTAGTTATAATTGTGGCTTCTGTTCGTTGTGCACAAAGAAGAGGAGAAATACTGACATCTTGAAAGATCTTAACATCAAAGAAGATTGGCTGATAAACAGCATCCTGTCTCGAAAGCTGAAATATTTTGGTCATACCAAGCGCCAAGACGAATTGAAAAAAAATTATAGCAGAAGGCATGGTACCAGAAAGGAGGGGCAGGGCCCGACCGACACGAAGATGGGCACAGGATATACGTGACTCCTTGAGTATGAAAGTACATGAGGCGGGAGAACTGGCGAGAGACCGAACTTCTTTCAGGCAGACTGTGATGAGAGCGACGTTCTGCAAAGGACCTGCTACATGATGATGATGTTCATTGTGCGTATTTGTAGCTGTCATGTCTGTCGAGCTAGGTTTTCTGCGTGTTGTTTGTAGGGCTGTTATCTTATCGCTGATTGATTAGTTCTGTGCTGTTTGTGTTGCCAGATTATATGCTCTCTGCCAGTAGTTGCTGTCCTCTCTTTCGTTTTCATAATTCATATTCTATTGTGGTCGCTCTGTTGAAGTTAGTCATGTGATTTGTTCCATCTTGTGATGTGTCGGTGGTTTCCACCACACGGCAAATACCAGAAGGATTTCATTTGTGTTAATCCTGCTCTAGCATTCGCAGTGTTCCATGTAAGATGTCTTTATCAATGAATCCGCATGAGATATGCCATGCTGTCATCCTGAGCTGACTTGGTAAGACTTTATCTCTACTATGTGGATTTTTTTTCTTTCTGTTGGATTAGTGCTTCTTTGAAGAACCTGTAGGCCGCCTGTTGACGTTGTTCTTCGTGCCACTGATCCAGAGTCTGACTTAATCGCTTCACCTGTTCTTTCATAGTATTCTTGGGAACCGTTGCTTTGCCTCTCTCATTCGTATACAATGACGACACGACTTTTTCCGTCTTTGTCACCAAGCAATATTGCTCTCATTTCCTGTTTATAGTAAAACGCACAGGACATTTCGGGTTCTCTTTGAGCCTGATAATTCCAGTAAAACAATATATCGTAAGAACGTTGTGTGTTTGTTGTAATCGCTGTCACATTTGTCATCATCATCATCATCATCAGGTGCCTAGCCGACTGGCGTGGGCGATCATGCCTCTACATAATCTGCGATCTCCTGCAGCACCTCCAACAAGACTGTTAAGCATCTTCTCTCGTTGTCTTCCTCTCTCTCCTTCCACATATCTTTCCAGTGGAAACAACATGTTCTATTTTCCCTCTTCTCATAACATGGCCGAAAAATGATGACTGTCTCCTTCTGATGTCTGTGATAAGTTGTCTTCGGGCTCGCGCCTCTTTCAAAACCTCTTGGTTGCTCTTTTTGGCTGTCCAAGGTATTCTAAGCATTCTTCTGTAAAACCACATCTCCGAGGCTTCCAGAAATTGTTTTGCCTTTCTACCGATTGTCCAGGATTCACAGCCATATGTTAAAACAGGATGTATTTAGCAAGCAAGAATTCTTGCGACTGAGCGCGCCCTGGCTCGGTTGCCGATCATCTGATAGACTGCGACGCCTAGCGGCACAAGCAGATTTTGACAAAAGAAGAAGAAGAAGTAGAATTCTTTTTCTAACTCTTGTTCTAACTCTCAATGACAAGGATATTGCACAAGATGTTTTTCATTTTATAAAATGCAGAGTTTGCCTGTCCTATTCTGTTTCTTATCTCAGTTAGCCACATTTGTACAGGAGTATAAACCCGTTTTCGTTGTCGTCGCAGTCATCATCATCCTCGTCGTCATTATCATATTGTAGCGGGTTCGTTGCAGAACGTCGCTCTCCTCACGGTACGTGCTGTCTATCTTTCGTCTTTCTGTCTGTGTGCCTCCCTCCCCCCCCCCGTCTGTCTATCTTTCCGTTCGTTCGTTCGTTCTTCTGTCTATCCATTTTATCTGTCATCCTGCCCGCTCGTGTGTCCGTCTGTCCGCCAGCCTTTCAATCCTTTTCAAATAAGCCGTTCCCTTGTGGGGTGAAATTTTTTATTATTTTGAAGCCCCACCCTGGCTGTTGCCAAGGGCCCTAATATAATCTAACGGTTGAAAGAGGTTTCTATGATCTCTCTACGGGTATTCCTGGTCCGCATGGTGGCACTTTCTGTCACCGTGTGTTTATCGCTCTGTGTGATGTCCTGGTGGGGTACAACCCATTTACTTACTTTCTATCCCTTTCTATCATGTCTATCTACCTGCTTGCTTGTCTCTGCCTGCCTACCTGTCTTTTCACTTGCCGATTTGTCTAGCTACCCATGAATTCTACCGTCTCGTCTCCTCGCCATATCTTTCAAATTGTAAACACTCGTTGCAAGGCTCTTTACTCATAAACACACGGCGGTAATGTCTCAGTACAGAAGGCGGTAATGTCCCTGTACACAGGATGTAATGTCCCTGTACACAGACGATACTGTCTCTCTATCACGCACAGGATACCCAAAGGATAGACGCATACAAAAACAAGTTTGGCGTACTCCACAACTCAGTTGTGGAACTCTCTTCCACAACAAATTAGAAAGGAAAAAACACTAGTATCTAAACACAATCGAAACATATTCGAATATTAACTTAGCACATATTCCATGCCCCGATAGAAGATCAAAAACTATATTTTAAAAATAGCACACATTTTCCCTAGATTTATTACAACCACTACGGTCTACTGATAAAAATATAGACATTCCAGAGCTTGTAATGAATACCATGATGCTATTAATAACGTTCACTATAACTTGATGTATCAATGGAATAATGTAAGAATTGAGGGAGACCTCGAAAGACAGAACGTTAGACCGCCTGCGTGCCTAATTCTAAACACTTTAAAATAAAGTTTTGTTCGTTCGCTCATTCTTTTGTTCTTCCCATCGCCTTCCTATCAGATGATCTGCTGTAGAAAGTCTCATATGCAGTTTGGTGTAGCTGCACTCCTATCAGCTTATTTCTATCATTGACTTATCCATAGTTACAATAGGCAACCGTCAGTCGCTGGGACCAATGAGGTTATACCGCTGGTTCTGGAAACAGCGGCTGCTGTGACTGAAGTCCAGAGCAGGAGTGACAGTGACTGCCACAAAGACTATGATGAGGCTGGTTTTCTCTCAGACTTCTACTCTCTATAGCTGACTGTCTTTGGCCTCTGTCAAACTGCGACAGCCTGTCTCTCGCGGTCTATCCCTAAAGGAGTCGGTCTGCAGCTGATCGCTCCCGTATGCCTGTGCCAATGTTGACATCGTCATTGACATTCCTGTAGATTTTTTTTCCGTTACCAGTTCACCATACAGGAGATCCTTTGGACAGCGACCATCCTCCATGCGAGAGAGATGTCCCAAGCAACGCAGGCATCTTAACTCCAGTAGAAAGTACATTGTTGGCATTCCTGTTCTTTTGAGTACACGTTTCTTTGGAACAAAGTATCGCCACGATTATACCGAGAATTATTTAATGCAGTGACATATCTTAAACATTCGCATCTGTATAAGACTGACTTGTCTATAACATGAACATGATGACGACAGCAGACACATGGTCTTGACAGTCTCCTTGGTGTCAGTCAGCAACCAAGCGCGATAATGCAGGGATATTCAGACTCGGCTACAGAAGAAGATGTCTTCTCCCAAATGGAGGAACCAGGGGAGAGCAGACTGGCCAAGCACATCCAAGGTTAGTGAGTGCGATAAGGCTGGGGTGAGGTAGGGGATAGGAGACGCAAGAGTGGAGCAGGGAGTGATTATTTTTGTTGCTGTTGTGGTCGGCGGGTTCCTGGGGAGGAAGGGGGGGGGGGGGGGTTAGTAACTTGTTCCCCTACAGATTTGTAATCTGTAGATTCACATCTCAAGGATGAGAAAAAATTGGCTCTAAATCTCGAAAACTCTGTTTAGCCGGATGGTCATATAGCACAGTTATTATAGCTCAGTTATATTGGGGCACGACAAAATGGTTATAAAGTAGCCTGTAGTCTGGTGAGAGTAGTGTTGGTGTCAAAGGAAGAGTAGACTAAAGAAAGGGGCATGCATATATATATATATATTTATATATATATATATATATATATATATATATATATAGAGAGAGAGAGAGAGAGAGAGAGAGAGAGGGAGAGAGAGAGAGAGAGAGAGACAGATAGAGTCAGGGAAAGACAGGGGTAGAGAGAGCGATGGCAGCGAGAAATTTAAAAAAGATGGATACGGATATCTAAAGACAGATAGAGAGGCGTATATATAGATATAGAGCGATATATATATATATATATATATATATATATATATATATATATATATAGAGAGAGAGAGAGAGAGAGAGAGAGAGAGAGAGAGAGAGAGAAAGAGTATTTAATGAAAAAGAGACAAAGAGAGAGAGAGAGAGAGATAGAGAGAGAGAGAGAGAGCGAGAGAGAGAAAGAGAGAAAGAGAGATTAAAAAAGACAAAACATAAAAAAAAACAGATTATTTACCAAAGCAAATCATTGTGAAACGTATCCAGCTTCAGTAATTGCTGTCGTGTGCCTGCCAAAAAAGTAATTACACTGCAACACCAAAACCCGTGTTCATTTCATTAAGCAGACACTGTTCTGATTGTCTACCATATCCAAAGACACTTGACACTTCAATTACCCATTTCTTGCTGTTTAATTATGAGTGAGTTGGTTTTCTGGCGTCCTGTAGCTTATGGTTTCATAATCCTGGTATACCAGGGCCACACACACACCCAAGTGCTTTGGATGGAATTACAGGAATCAGGAATTACACTAAAGGTGGTTTTTCCACTCTTTCAGGCGTATCGGACATTTAGGGCTAGACCTATATTTATAGACCAATCGGCACTCGATGGGTGATATGGTCAATACCACACTGGCTGCCTTTACTTCATCATCATCAGTTCTCGTTATGCCAAGTGGCACATGAGGCTTCAGAGAGGAGTTTCCATGCTTTCCTGTCCTGTGCAATCTTCAGTGCAGTTTTCGATGTCAAAGATGCCGCACTCAGGTCACTCTCCGTCGTTCGTCTCCATGTCCGTCTGGTTTTTGGGCTTCCTGTTTTCTCTCTCCCTCTGGTGTCCATGTGAGAGCTGTTTTGGCGGGTAAATCAGGATTCATTCTCATAACGTGGCCAAGCCATTTCCATCTTCTCTTGGTTATCATACTGTCTAAAGTTTCTTGGTTTGTGACTTGAAGTAGTTTAGTGTTTGAGATTGTATCTGGCCAGAAAATGTTGATAGTTCTACGTAGACATGTGTGGTGGAAGATGGACAACTTGTGTGCTTCCTTTGTGGTCATTCTCCAGCATTCCGCTCCATAAAGAAGAACTGGCAAAATTATGCTCTTGAAGAGTCGGAGTTTCGTTCCTCTGCAGTAATTGTTGGATTTCCAGTTTGTCTCATCCTTCCAAAAGCAGCTCTAGCTTTGTGCAGACGTGACTTTATGTCCCCTTCGGTCCCTCCAGACAGGGACACCACACTGCCAAGATATGTGAAATGTTCTACATTTTCAAGAGTTTGGTTATTTATGGTCACTGGTTGTTGGTTTGGACTGCTTGTCATGATCTTAGTTTTCTTTGTATTTATTCTCAGTCCCACCATTTCTGCTGTGCTGTGTAGTCTGTTACTTTTTTCTTGTATATGTTCACGTTTATGTGATAGGAGTGCGATATCATCTGCAAAATCAAGGTCCTCAAGCATGGTGAATGGAGTCCATCGTGCACCTCTCAATGTCATGTCTACTGTGTTCTTTAGTATCCAATCAATCACAAGGTTGAAGAGGAGAGATGAAATAACACATTCCTGTCTTACACCTGTCTTTACTGGGAAGGATGTATTGTAATTTTTTATACTGCAGGAAAAGTGTTTATAGAAGAGAGAAATTATGTTGACTATTTTTTTCTGGAATCCATAATGTCGTAAAATTTGATATAGACTGTCTCTATGGACACTGCCAAAAGCTTTCTCAAAGTCCACAAAATTTATTTATATACTTCTCTGCTATTAATTGCATTGTTCTATAGACCTATCGGCACTCGATGGGTGATATGGTCAATATCACGTTGGCCGCCTTTACTTCGTAGGACTAAACCTGGTACGCACTCAAGGCTGAGTTAACTTAGGAGCAATTCAATTTTTTTAAAAACGTGCGTTTCGTCAGGACCCCGAACCCACATCTTCAGGTCCGCAAGCGAGCTTCTAACCACTACACCACGTCAGGTCCTAGCAATTTTATCAGAGTTTATAATTTGTGCTTCATTGTGTTGTTTTCTGGTTATCTGAGAGAGTGTGAAACCTAGACAAGAGACACAGTGTGTTGGACATCCATCGCGGCCAACCTTCAGAGTGGAGACGTTACCTGATTACCTGATATATTGATGTAAACCTGGTGCCATACAGCGAAATTAATCAGGCAAACAAATGGATTGTTCTTTCAGTATCATCAATTTACACATTAAATTTAACTCTTCTGCTAGAGAATATTTTCGGCTCAGGACATACATGTTTCGATGCAAAATGACTCAAATAGTACTCTGAAAGAGGGAGTGTTAAAGTAAAATGTCTTTTTCTTCTTCTTCTACTTAAGGCGATTGCTGGCTGTAAACATTGATGGAAAGTGCCGGTTGTTCGTTCACTTCTAAACTTTAGTGCTGTTCCAAAACTTGTGTTTTGCGTACAACATGCCTTGCACATATCTGACTTTTTTGTATGCAGACCGTATGTATGTATGTAACTTGTACCCCACCAGGACATCACACAAAGCGATAAACACCGGGTGACACAAAGTGCCCCCATGCGGATGAGGGTCACCCGTAGAGGAGATCCCAGAAACCCCGTTCAGTCGCTGGGCCATATTTATGGCCCAGCTATATTTAGGGCTCCAGGCAAAAACCAGGATGGAGCTTCAAGTAACGAAAAATTGCATCACACTTGGGAAAGGTTCCCTGTGACTTAGACAAATGCACTGCGACCTCAAAGGAAACACCCCTAATTAGGAAACTTTTACGAGATGCTTGTTAGACCCAGAATCTATATATACCAATCCTTAAGGACGAACGTATAGTCTTTTGAGCTGAAATGCTATAGAAAGAATCTCAGGATGCCATGGACAAAGAAGAAAAGAAATACATTTACAGATGTGAGCATCAAGGAAGATTGGAAAAAAAAAAAAACAGTATCTTGTCATGGAAGCTGAAATATTTTGGTCATATCAAGCGCCATTTCTGACTACAAAAATAATAGCAGAAGTCACGGGACCAGAAAGTAGGGGCATGGGCCGACCAATACGAAGATGGGCAAAGAAAATAATAACTTTTTGAATATGAAAGTCCGCGAGGCGGAAGAGCTGGCGAGAGCCCTAGTTTCTTTCAGGCAGACTGTGATGAGAGCGACGTTCTGCAAAGGATCTGCTACATGATGATCATGGCTTACGAGATAAAAACAAATATACGAGGTCATATACTGTTTATGGAATCGCCGTGGTGTAGCGGTTAGTGGCTCGCCTGTGGATCGTAAGGTCGGGTGTTCGGCTCCTGACGGAGCCGGACAATTTTCAAAATGACGTTGGCTTCGGGGTCGACACAGCCTTGAATGAGTACCAGGTACAGTCCTGGGAAGCAAAGGTGGTCGGCGCGATGTTGATCACATCACCCACCAAGTGCCGATTGTTCTGTAAAATATAGGTCAGGTCCTACATGCACTATTTTGATTAAGTGTTTGTGTCATTGTTCGCATAATATAATGTTTTCTATTTCTGGCAGATTTAATGTTTGGACCCAAAGGACGGCGCAAATTCCCCAAACATGAATACAAACCCACAGGCTGTATAGATTACGAGATTCTAGGGGACGCTGTCAGCTCGGCTCACAAACCTCCTCCCTGGCTGACGGACCAGGTGAAACCAGCAGGAGGTCCATCGGAAAAGTGATCACCTGTTTTTTTTTTTTTTTTTTGTATTACTTCACTATCAGGCAAATTGTGGGAACGACACCTTGTACTAGATTCACCAAGAAACAGCAGATTAAGTGGTTTAGCCATATTGTTAGAATGCCGCAAGATCAAATACCATCACAAGAACTACATCTCAGAAGATCAGCTACAAGAGCAAGAGGACGGCCGCGGAAAACATGGATCGACAACATTAAAGACACGCTACGCCTTCACCTCATGACAATAGCCAGTGGCTGCCAACGTGCACTGGATCGCAAATTATTTCTCCCCACGTTGCTTAACGGCAGAAGTGGTTTATAATGATGATGACTTCACTGGGGTATGGAAGTAATCTAAAACACATGGAGACACACTCAGGAGTAGATCGGAGCACTTGTAGTCACGTCCGATATGTGATGAAGATGATCGTTAAGGGGTCACTACACCCAAAAAAAAAAATTTTTAACAGTGTTACACTAATTATTTTGTAACGGCCATTTGTAGGGATACGTGTTAATACATTTGCATACTTTGAGTTTTAAAAAATCATGGTTGCCATGGCAATAGTCGCCGTCTTGGGAAAAAACATGTACTCAAAATCCTAGAATTTCAAAAACAAACAGGGAGATTGAGAAAAAGATAGTGGATTCATGAAATGTAATCCTATGTTCAGGTACACGTGCAGATTATTGATTTACTCTAATGATGTTTTAAAACTTTTTTCTTAGAATTTTAAAATGTAAGAAACACAAACTTACTAAAATCTACTTTTCAACAGATATGTCCCTATAATATTGTTTAAGAAGTATCCACACCAAATCTCACGTTTCTAGTCTTTATATTAGCTGAGATTTTAGGATTTTCCACACACAACAAACAGAAATATAGAATTCTGAGAAAACTGACTTTTAAACTTTTATGTATCTTAAAAAAAGGTGCATGGGGTGGTGTTCTTAAGTATTACCTTTTTTTTAAATGCTAAATTGTTTACAAAGCTTATGTGTTATCTATTATACAAATGCCGAAATTTACAAAAAACGAACATATTGAAAAAGTGATATTTTTGTCATAAATTGAAGAAAAAAAAATATGTAATGACCCCATACACGAACAATGAACTTTACTAGGGTAAACTAAAGTGATTGTGAAAGCCTTGGTGGTGTGGTGGTAGACCGTTGCCTGCTGATCTGAAGGTCGTAGGTTCAGGTCCTAGGGGAATCAGACTTTTGTCAGAAATAACCTTATCTCCCAGGCTGATCCAGCCTTACATGGGTAACAAAAGAAATGCCTGGAAAGTAAAGGCTTCCGGCGGGATTTTGATCGCATTACCCATCAAGTTTGTAAAATTTACGCCTAGCCCTATATGCTTAATACGCCTGAAGGTTCTGGAGAAAAAACAACTATCAAATGTTCAGATGTGGACGAACACCCAGAACTTTTCAGTGTAGTTTTCAACCGGTGAAGGCGAAGAAGAAAAATAAGAAGATGCTCAGTATGCGTCAAGGCGTGAAGATGGCACGTCTCCTATTTCCGCTTGAATGTTCCCACAGGACATGTAATGAGTGTTAGCAGACCTCATGCAGCCGCGCTGATATAAGATTGTTTCGATGATGATGTTGATGACGATGACGAGGGAAAGGCCGATGACGTCATGATGATGATGATTATGATTAAGTCGGTGAGAGGATGATGATGATGATGATTAAGGTGGTGAGAGTATGATGATAACAAAGATTACGACGGCGATAATGACCTTATGCCTCTTCAAAACGTGATGATGAAAGGCAATACAGGACTAGAAAATACGAATAGAAAATAAGACGATGATGATGTTGCTAATGGAATGCTGAATATATTGCTAAATAATGATGATGATGATGATGATAAGATGCTTATGATGATGACAGTGTGCTGATTATAATAATCATGGCTATGATGATGGTAATAATGATGATGTTGATTATGATGGTGATAATGGTGATGATAATGAGGATGATGTTGATTTTCAGGATGATAATAATGCTGATGATGATAATATTGATAATGATAATGATAATAATGTGATGATGTTGATTCTGAGGATGATGATGATAAAGATGACAATAATGATGATGACGCTGATTATGAGTACGATTGAGATGATTAAGATGAAAGCAATAATGAAAACGTCCATCGCATGACCTTTGACACAAACTGTAACTTATAACATTCATCTACATTTAAGGAAAGCCAAAGGAAGTGTATTTCGAAGACCCAGACAAGTGGCGGAAGAGAAAGTCAAAGAACGTCGCGACAGATACTCGGAGTACAACAGGATCATTACTAGCAACCCCTACAAGAAAATCGCCTTCAATAACGTATGTACATTCGTTAGAATATCTTCTTTGGCGATAGCAAGGGACTTCTTTTCTTTAACAACGTACATTCGTTAGTATATCTTGTTGGAATAGCCATGGACTTCTTTTCTTCAACAACGTACATTCGTTAGTATATCTTGTTGGAATAGCCATGGATTTCTTTTCTTCAACAACGTACATTCGTTAGTATATCTTGTTGGAATAGTCAGGGACTTCTTTTTTTCAACAACGTACATTCGTTAGTATATCTTGTTGGAATAGCCATGGATTTCTTTTCTTCAACAACGTACATTCGTTAGTATATCTTGTTGGAATAGCCAGGGACTTCTTTTCTTCAACAACGTACATTCGTTAGTATATCTTGTTGGAATAGCCATGGATTTCTTTTCTTCAACAACGTACATTCGTTAGTATATCTTGTTGGAATAGTCAGGGACTTCTTTTTTTCAACAACGTACATTCGTTAGTATATCTTGTTGGAATAGCCATGGACTTCTTTTCTTCAACAACGTACATTCGTTAGTATATCTTGTTGGAATAGCCAGGGACTTCTTTTCTTCAACAACGTACATTCGTTAGTAAATCTTGTTGGAATAGCCATTAACTTCTTTTTTTCAACAACGTACATTCGTTAGTAAATCTTGTTGAGCCAGGGACTTCTTTTCTCCAATAACGCATGTAAGTTGGTTAGTATATCTTGTTAGGCGATAGCAAGGAAATTTTTTTCTTCAATAACGTATGTACATTCGTTAGTATATCTTTTTAGACGATAGTAAGATGCTTCGTTTCTTTAGTAACGTGTGTACATTCGTTAGTATATCTCTACATTAGTATTTTTTCTTAGGCGATAGAAAAGGACTTCCTTTCTTCAAAAACGTTAGTACATTTGTTAGTATATCTTCTTAGGCGATAGCCAGGGACCTGTTTGTTTCAATAACGTATGTACATTCCATTAGTATATCGTGTTAGGCGATAGCAAGGGACTTCTCTTCAAAAACGTATGTAAATTGGCTTGTATATCTTGTTAGGCACTTCCTTTCTTCAATAACGTACGTACATTCGTTAGTATATTTTGTTAGGCGATAGCAAGGGACTTCTTTTCTCTACTGCTGCAATGCCTAGCGGAGCCAGGGCAGAAAGAGAACTCTGGAACGGGTTCAGTCTGTTCGCTTTGTACAAAGTACTTTCCAGTCTCTGATATTTCTGCAGTCCATCTTCTGCCTGGTCAATCTCTGGGTCTGTTACCGTTGTATCCTGTATAACTTTGCTCTCTGTGGTGCCCTGTCTGCTGTCAATCTCGTTACATGGCCAAACCATTTAATATGTTGTTAACCAATAAAATTCAGTGTTGGTTCTGTGCCATCTTCTCTTGATATCATCCTTCCTAAGTCGAGATAGCAAGGTACATAGGCTGAAAAGAGGTGGCTCTAGCATTTCACCAGCAGAAGTTACCATAAGAAATCTTTGTACTACTGACAAAACAGAGCATGGTGAGGAATGGATCACAGTCCCGCCCAGCAAAACGGATTTACACTGAGTGATAGTTACCTTAGACCGAGGAGGTTGGGAATACATATCTGGTGAAACAAAGTCAGCGGTGCAAGAGCTGACCACTAAAAATTCGCTCCCATATGACATCATTTAGTATACAAAATTGTCTGTAGGAAGAGATATGAAGAGTATTCCTCATCATCATCATCATATAGCAGGTCCTTTGCAGAACGTCGCTATCATCATGGTCTGCGTGAAAGAAATTCGGTCTCTCACCAGCTTTCCCGCCTAATGTACTTTCATACTCAATGAGTCACTTATATCAAGTGCCCATCTTGGTGTTGTTCGGCCCCTGCCCCTCCTTCCTGGTACCATGCCTTCTGCTAGTATTTTGTCCAATCAGTCATTGGGCTTGTATGGCCAACATATTTTAGCTTCCGAGACAGGGTGCTGTTTATTAGCCAATCTTCCTTGTTGTTCAGATCTTTCAAGATGTCAGTATTTCTCCTCGTCTTTGTCCAAGATATTCTGAGAATCGTTCTATAGCATTTTAGCTCAAAAGTCCCTATTCTCTTTCTTAAGGACTAGGATAGTCCACGACTCAATCCGTATGTAGCTACAGGGAAGATGCATGCTCTCAAAATTCAAATTTTTACACTTTTAATGTTGTATAATCTTTGCATTGCTATGGCTATCCTCTTTTTAATTTCTGTCAAACAGTTTCCATTGCTATTTATTATAGAGCCTAGACATTCAAAGATATTCTATTTCATTAGCTATATCATTTTTGTCTAGAAATAAAGCAATTTGCAACAGTAAACCATTCTCAGAAGCAAGAACTTGCTTCAACAAAAATAGCAAACCTGCCTATCCGACATATTGATCACGTACCTTGACCACTATTTTCTGTTTTGACAAGCATTTCTATGTTTTCCCAGAGCCAGATGCTCCGGGACATGATCCCCCAATGGTGCCAAGACAGACTGCGGACAGCCTGCAGGTCGGCTAGATTTGAACTTCCCTTCGACAAGACTATTCTGGAAAGTGAGTACCGAAGAAAGTTACGACTGTCCTCAAGGTGATCGCAAAAACTGATGGACTTTTCCAGTAGAATCTTTCTGGCTGTTGGCCACTTCAGAACTTTGGCTTTAATCTATGACTTTAGCGTTGTGTGTACATTCATTTTACAGATCTGGCTTATTTATGTAGACTGTGGTTTCCTCGCCATTGAGGCAAATGCATTCCGACCTGAAAACTTCATGTTGTGGCAGGTCAAAACAGATTCTTGGCCTTCACTGACAGCTGATCCAGAATGGAAGCTCTTACTGGCGGACATACAGATCACCAGGCTTCTATTCAAACAGGTTCCATAGCCTGCTTTGTTTCAAACGTATCAGTATTACTTTTCCTTCCGAGTAAACAAGGCAGGCTGAAAGACAGGTGTCATGGTGCAAGGGCAATATAGGGTATCTTCAATGCTGCGCAGGCTTTGTGTCATGGAGAGGAGAGCAATTTCACCCCTAGTTTTTATTGAATGTTATTCCCCTGTATCTCTAGAGCACACAACAACAGGGTCATATGGACTTCTACAATGAAGCAAAGGCGTCATAGAAGGTCACATTCTTCACCACGATGATGACTCTTTTTTTTTTTTTTTTTGCATTCGCTTGACATTATCATCATTACGTGCCCTGACAACTGGCGTAAGCATTCATACATCTCCATTGGATTACTTTCACCGATTACATCCTTTAGTGCCACCGTCGCAATCTATCCGTCATCATCTCTCTCGGTCTGCCTACTTACCTACTTCTTGATCTCTTGCCGTCGCCTTTTCCTCCAGTATAGTATTAAAAAGAGTAGTATGTCTTTTAATGTGGCCAAAATATTTCCATTCTCTTTTTTGTATTTATTTCAGCGATTCTGTTTTCATTTACATGTTCTCCGGAACCTCTGTATTTGTTTCTCTCTCTCTCTCTCTCTCTCTCTCTCTATATATATATATATATATATATATATATATATATATATATATATATATATATATATATATATATATATATATATATATATATATATATATAACACGACATATTCTTCTGCAAATCCACATTTCCAGAGACTCAATTCGATTTAGACAATTCGGATAGACGCATGCCTGCGGATTGGAAGGTCGTCGGGTCGGTTCCTATCAGAGGCCAGACTTTCTGTCGAAAATAACCTTGGCTCCCAGATCGATCCAGCCATGAGTTAGTATCAAGTACAGTCCTGGGAAGTAAAGGCGGCCAGCATAATGCTGACCACATCACCCACCAAGTGCTGTTGGGTCTATAAAATATAGGTCTATATACCTAATACGCTTACAATGGCATGGAAAAGGGTCCTTTACTTTACATTTTCAATGTGTTGTTTATCTCTCTAAAGTAGAGAATAGAACGTAGACGATGTTAGTGTTTTAACTTCACGGATCGCGTGTTCTGGACTTCCTGCCTGATGTGCAACCAGACATTTACTGGGGACGGAGCGACTATGAAAGTGTCCCGAGTGCTACGATGTCCATTCTTAATTAAAATGTAACAGTTTTCATTCATTGTTTCTTCTTTTTCTTCTTCTTCTTTTTCTTCTTCTTCTTCTTCTTCTTCTTCTTCTTCTTCTTCTTCTTCTTCTTCTTCTTCTTCTTCTTCTTCTTCTTCTTCTTCTTCTTCTTCTTCTTCTTCTTCTTCTTCTTCTTCTTCTTCTTCTTCTTCTTCTTCTTCTTCTTCTTCTTCTTCTTCTTCTTCTTCTTCTTCTTGTCTGCAGTTGGACGTTCCTTGGCCGCTCGGGCAGAAGATGCACTCCGACTTCGAAGGAAGCCTCAATTAGTCGACTACAATGTCATGCTTTTTGAGGAGGCACTGGGTACATTCGTGTTTTCCCTGCAATGGGACCCCAAAACCTTTACCGGGAAATTTTCATTATAAAGTAGTCAGTCAGTCAGTCAGTAGCATGTACTTTGCAGAATCTTACAATCATAACAACCCTTCGGAAAACTTCTCAATCACAAGCAAGATGTCCCGAGTCCGATACACCCATCTGGAGATCATTCGCCACAGCATGTACCCATCTTCTCTTCGGCCTTCCATTTCCTCTCTTTCCAGTCATTATAGTTTGTAAAATGGGTCATCATCATTGCAAAGGGTAATAACCCATAAGTGATCAGTTCTACTTCTTCTAACTCAAGCCTGAGTCCGAAGAATCTCAGCCTAATGCACGAACTCCGTAGCATCAGCAAATGCCCCTGCATTGCTGTTCTCTCCAACCTTTCGTAACGTTTCAAGTGACCAACATTTTTTAATTTTCTGTGTTTTATCGTCTTTAATAGCCGACCTTCTTCAATATTTAGTTCTTGAAGTATGTGTGCATTCGTTCTTTTCTTCACCTATGAAATTATTAGAAACCGTCTATGACATTCATATCCAAAGGCATTTTTGTGCTGTTTAGCTTGTTAGCTTGCTTGTTTATTGCACCCCACCAGGACATCACACAAGCGATAAACATCCGGTGACATAAAGTGCTACCATGCGGATAAGGATCACCGTGGAGAGTTCCCAGGAACCCCTTTTAGCCTTTATGGCCACAATTCAGAGACCCCGGCAAAAGTCAGGGAGGGGCTTCAAATAATGAAAAATTGCATCTCACAAGTGGATTACTAACAGACTATAATCAGCTCGTTTATTAAGTGTCCAGGTCTCATCAGCGTTATGTTGCAATGGGAAAGATGCTCTTTAAAATCTTATTTTTCTAGTTCGGTTTGTCCCACTGCAAAATGTATTCAGTTGTTTTAGTCTTTGAAAAGCAATTGATAGTCGACATTCTGAAGTAGAGTGTTTATTATTTCAGACATCACCCCACTCCAGTTCCTAGCCAGGTACACCCGCTTGTACAGGGAACAAAGGAGACGGTACTCCCTCATTTTTCAGAAACACAAGTCTAAGCTCAATGACTATATCGAATACCAGGTATTTGTTATATTTTAATCTTTTTCCCCTACGTCTTCACTGCATCTTCTTTGGGTTTTTTTCTCCTACTTTCTCGCAATTCCTTGTTTTCTTTCTGTCTCCTAGCTTTTCGTAACTATTCTTTTTCTTTTTTCCCTACCTCCTCGCAATTCTTCTTTTTTCTTACTTTAATTAGCTCCTGGCAAGCCAACTTTTTCTTCCTTTTCTCAGTCTCCTCACAATTCCTCGTTTTTCTTTCTTTCCCCCACCTCCTTGCAATTTTAAGTTTGCCATGGCTATGAACGGATTGCACTCTTGAAACCAACGCAAGCCGGTCTCCCAATCTTCCGCAGGTGGGATCGAACACGGTACCACGGAAAAACAAAGCGTGTATACAATGCTAATTCCATAGATACCAGCGTTTATTTATAAAAAGAAACATTTTAAGAAGTGTGTCTTTTCCATCGTCATTTCTTCACCTCTTGGTTCACTTAGGCTTGTTTAGTTTTCTCTTAAAGTTCTACATTAGTTTTTCTATTATACTATTTTATTCCCTCTATTCAAGCATACCGCGATCGAAACCCACTGCAGGCTGCGTGGATTTTTGTCGTGGTATGGGGACGTCGCAGGTCGACCCAGCCTAAAATGGGTACCAGGATGGGCTGTTCTGGAAAAGTAAAGACAGCCGGCGTAATGCTGACCACATTACCCACAGAGTGCTGATGGTCTGTAAAAATATGGGACGCTCTGCCCATATGCCCGATGCGCCGAAAGGCGTGAAAAGGGATCTTTACTTTTTTAAATTTTTTTTTAATTCAAGCACCAGTTAATGAATGTTTGCAGTTTCTTAGCTATTGCCTTAGTTGTTCGTCGTGTTTCCGCTCCATACAACAGTAATGACTGACATTAGAACTACACATTTTAGGTTTAGTATAAGTTATAACTTCTGTTGACCTTCACAAATTGCCTAATGATATGAGAGCTTCTCTCGCCTTTAGTTTACGCACAAACAGGTACATAATCCGGTATCTGGTGTATCCTTTGTCTCCCAGAACTTATTCCCAGCCCTGAACACGATGTTTGGCATGTACCTCAGTAAAGAGAACTTTGACATTCTCTGCACGGCTCTCTTCATTGACCGCCAGACCTCCCTGGACGAGACCACGTTTGTGGGTGTGTGTACCTTCGCCGATCGGTTGTTCTGGACCTCCTACCTGGAGCATCTGTAAGCTGCTATACTTCTTGTTCTTTTATGTGTACTGTTTTGAGGTGGATGTGACTACAAGTAATCTGTTAATCATTCACTTGGTACCCCGGTCTGCTACCTTAAAGTTTACTATGCCATTCTGAGAGGATCTGGTCGACACTTTACTTTCAGGGGAAAGGCATATAATAAAACTGCTACTGGCACCATCAGAATTTGAGCTCTTCGCAAGCTGCTGAAGATGAGGACAGATAGCTTATGGGATTGTGTCCAGTGCTAGGATGTCCATTCTTAACAAAAATTCTCAACACACCATCCTGTGATCAAACAAATCTCAAACTCGATGGCAGACAAACTAGGCAGATCCCAAATGTCCCGTTCAGTCTCCTAAAAAAGCTATAATTAGGGCATCTGTGACAGTCACATGGACATCCTGAATTATCCGAGCATAAACAATACCCTACCCTGAAACCTAATGTATTTAGGTCATGTTAAACGTCATGGGAACCTCTAGAGAACTGTGGTGAATGGTAAAGTTTCCTTCAAAGTTCAACAGAAGGAAAGAAACAAACGAGCACAAATCTAACAAAATATGTAATCTTCATCAACGGACAAACCAACAAAAAATGGACTAATTAAACAACCGACTAGGTCAACATAGCCCGAAAATATATTACACATTACCTAAAACAATATATTTCCACAGCTTAACAGTGTACGCAGTGCCACTGATTCTGTCCATGACAAAAACATTGCAAGAGAGAAATATCCTGTAGATGCTGCTTTTAAATTTGCAGTCATAAAGATCCCGCTCAACTAGCCCAAAAGTTATCACATTTGAAAAGAAGAAAATCCTTAAAAAATGCTGTAAATAGTAATAGTATTCATGTGAGCCTGGCTGACTGGCTATGCTTGCACTCGGAAGGCACTAGTTCAGTCTGTCGATACGGTAATGTAACTTTTTCATTTTTTCTTCTTCTAAATTTTAACTGAAAATGGGGTGGAAAGATGGAAAAGGGGAAGGGGGGGGGGGGGGGTGTGGAGTGGGAGCGATACAAAACAAAAGCTGCAAAGTTCATGGCGACTTCAATAGACAGGGAACCTAAAAACTGGCTCAAGATCCCATTGTTCTATGTTATTCTACAAAGCGCTTTTTTATATTATAAAGGTAGTCGACAGTTTTCATTATTTAGACAGGTACTGAGGTAGGTACTAAGTATGTAAGTATGTAAGTATGTATGTATGTATGTATGTAGTATGTATGTATGTATGTATGTATGTATGTCTGTCTGTTTGTCTGTTTGTCTGTCTGTCTGTCTGTCTGTCTGTCTGTCTGTCTGTCTGTCTGTCTGTCTGTCTGTCTGTCTGTCTGCCTGTCTGTCTGTCTGTCTGTCTGTCTGTCTGTCTGTCTGTCTGTCTGTCTGTCTGTCTGTCTGTCTGTCTGTCTGTCTGTCTGTCTGTATGTATGTATGTATGTATGTATGTATGTATGTATGTATGTATGTATGTATGTATGTATGTATGTATGTATGTACGTATGTACGTATGTACGTACCTACGTACGTACGTACGTACGTACGTATGTACGTACGTACGTATGTATGTATGTATGTATGTATGTATGTATGTATGTATGTATGTATGTATGTATGTATGTATGTATGTATGTATGTATGTATGTATGTATGTATGTATGTATGTATGTATGTATGTATGTATGTATGTATGTATGTATGTATGTATGTATGTATGTATGTATGTATGTATGTATGTATGTATGTATGTATGTATGTATGTATGTATGTATGTATGTATGTATGTATGTATGTATGTATGTATGTATGTATGTATGTATGTATGTATGTATGTGTATGTATGTATGTATGTATGTATGTATGTATGTATGTATGTATGTATGTATGTATGTATGTATGTGTGTGTGTATGTATGTATTATGTATGTATGTATGTATGTATGTGTGTGTCTGTCTGTCAGTCTGTCTGTCTTTTTGTCTGTCTGTCTGTCTGTCTGTCTGTTTGTCTGTCTGGCTGTCTGTCTGTCTGCCTGTCTATCTTTTTGTCTGTCTGTTTGTCTGTCTGGCTGTCTGTCTGTCTGCCTGTCTGTCTGTCTGCCTGTCTGTAACTTTATATGTCTATAGACTGCCAGCAGTAACGTCTCAGTCGTTCACTGTGTCTTGTTTCAGCGAAAGGGACACATTTACGTTCCTAGGCCCCAACAGGTCTGTTCTGGAGTACGCCGACTTTGAAAACCTCAAGCGCAAAATCGACGGACTTCAATTGTCCAGAGAGATGTACTACCTCCTATACTCCTTAGCCTGAGTGCAAGGACGCAGCAACATGTCCAGACACACAAGACATTTATCGTGAGACGAGTAGGTGGTTTGGAGTGTATGTGTTTTCCGTTTGAATCTGATCACTATGTTGAGTTGAGGAGGTTACTTAAGTTGCTTCAAAAGCCGTCGTCACAGCACTCAGGGTATTCCCTAAGCGCTCGTCCCCATCTTCAGCAGCCAGCGCAGAGTTCTAATACCAATAGTGTGCGAGTCATCATTATCATCCTCATCATCATTTAGTTCTTGCCAGCTTGTATAGGCGTTCATGCAGCTCCACTGTTCCTATTCTTTGGTGTTCTGGTTAAAATAAACGGATGATATTCCTCCGTGCCAGGTTCTTAACCATCCACCATCATTCCTCTTGGTCTACCTCTGCCTCTTTTACCAGTGATGTTTTCAGTCGTCACGATATTTTCCAGTGCCCCTTTTCTCATTACAAGACCAAAGAACTTCGTCTTATTCTCATTGTTGTGTATAAAGTTACAATATCAATATGACGACAGTAGCAGTCTGGTTATACGTCCGTCTTGCCTCTGCTCTGAGCGTCAAATATCGGTCATCATACAGAGAACATTTCCGTAAGTGTTCTTTTCCATCTGTAACAACTAGGACCGAATTCCCGACTAAAGAAGGTGCAGTTGATGTGTAACATAAACTTATCAGAGCTTAGCTGGTCCAGCTGATAACCAAGCAAACGCTTTTGAAGCTTACAGTCTTGAAGAAGATCATAAAGTATGTTTAGTAAAAGCTATCTGCTCTGCATTAAAGGAACAAGCGTCGCCTGTTAATTCTTCACGCATGTATAGGCTCGGCTGCAGATCTTTGACAAGTGATACCAGATCCGCTTAGTGTGGATCTGGGAGAGGTGATTCTGACGCATACCTGCAAAAGGAGGTCAGCCAGTCCTTAACCTTTAAAACAGGTGGTATGTAAGGCGGTTCGTTGTGACAGATTTGTGGCAGTAACAACAGGGAAGTGGGGTAACTGTCCTTAAATTTTAGGAGAAAAAAGGAGTTGAGTACAGATTTTGTACTAAGAAAAATTGTCTTACTCGCGATAACGAATCGACGTCACTGCACCTGAGACAAACGAACTGGTGGTCAGTCTCTTTTAGTTAACGTAGCGATTATCAATTTAAAAAAAACGATCTGGCTTCATTTAGGTTCAGGTGTTTTTTACTGATTTCTTCGACTGTAAACTTTATGATGCCTGAAACTAACTCGTTCATATTCGTATTGATAATATGCTCAATGTGATAACATTCTTGGGGGGGGGGTTGAGTAAAGGGGTGACGGGTGGTGAGAGGCGAAGACGGATTTTACAACATTCGGCGTGACAGCTTTGTGAACAGACCGTGTGACATGGGTCAAATATACGTATAATTTATATTATGATCATCACTTATCATGTCGATAAGGGTACATTTTCTGCATCATCTTCATCAATATATTGTCATCGTCATCATCGTGATCAATCTTCATCATCGTTTTCTTCTTCTACTACTACAACAACAACAACTACTACTAATACTACTACTACTACTACTACTACTACTACTACTACTACTACTACTACTACTACTACTACTACTACTACTACTACTACTACTACTACTACTACTACTACTACTACTACTACTAATACTACTATTACTAAAACTACAACCACTTCTTCGTCTTCTACAGTCTGTAAACGCGGCAGAAATGTCTGATTGTTCGTCTATTTGGTATTAATCCAGAACGTGATTGTGCGTGCACATTTAAATCAACAATTTGGCTTATTTATATTTAGACCTTTGGTTCCTCGCCTCTCAGACAAATGCACTGCGAGTATAAAGAAAATATCCACCGTAACCTGTCGCCTTTTCAGGATATCTTTGTTAATGGGGCAGCTGGTCTATAACCCCTTCCACCCCCGCCCCCCCCCCTCACCTCACTTTAGATGGAAATCTCGCGACCCACACGGAAAACGCCCATTCGTGCTCGTATTTTTTCCACTACAAGCAATCTAAGTAACTGCACCTGAGACAAGCTGACAACAAAGCGACGACTGTTTAGTTTCAAAAATGTTTATTCAATTATTCAATTTTACTACAAGATTCTGATGACTTGACATTATTTATTCCCATTTATTTTTATCACAAAAAACAATGCTATTGAAACAATGGGTTTTTTAAAGACAATTTTATACAAATAGCTTTATTAGAGTGGTACAAAATTCTGCTTGAGAACTTTGTAAATAGACTGCTTGGAGTCAGTAAAATGTTCGAATAACTTTTCTTCTTCTTCTTCTTCTTCTTCTTCTTATTATTATTATTATTAATATTATTATTATTATTATTTTTATTATTATTATTATTATTATTATTATTATTATTATTATTATTATTATTATTATTATTTATTATCATCAGCATGTTTCATGTCGATAGGCGTAGGTAATCATCGTTAATTTTTCCACGTGGTCTGTACTCTTGTGCCGACTATGCCATATAACCAAGCCATCTATGCATTTCTCCTGTATTATTATTATATATATATATATATATATATATATATATATATATATATATATATATATATATATATATATATATATTGTTAAATGAATAAAACATGCTTCATAGATAAAATACAACTGTTGTGTGAAGATAAGTGTTTCAAAGGGCTGAATGTAAGACGGGCCTGCAAGCACAGTTTGTGATCCCTGAAAAACAAAGTTGGTTCGATCGTTTGTTGCCAGTGTCAGCCAAGTCACATACTTTCAGAGCTTGGCTAGGTCGAGATAAGTCTGTAACTTTTGTATAATATTACTTACTATTACTTTGTCCCAGTGGTGAAAGTACAGTTTTAATGTAGTAATTTCAGAGTTAATGTATGTGTACGTGAGCTAGTGTGTGTGTGTGTAAGTGTGTGTGTTTTGAATTCTGCTTAGCGACGTTGTTTGCTGCTGAAAGCTAATTACCGCAACGTCCTCTGTGTGTTCATTGTTATTGGTTTTGAAAAGCTGACATAAACTATTTGCTGTTTTTTTTTTTTTTTTTGTCTTTTTCCTTACATTTTTAAGCTTGATAGTTTGCTTTCTGGTCTTTCTCTTACTAATTTTCCGCCAGTTTCCCATTTACCATTTAATGTAGAACCAGCTTCACGCTTCTCTACATAATGCCAGGGCTTGGATTTCAAGTAATTCCCACTGGTCTCCGGGTAGTAAGACCGGACGCCCGTGTGTAAAAAATCCCTTGGCAGTTGGAAATCGAAAAGAGTAGCGGCGCTGCCCGGGCAAAATTTGGAGGTAAAAATCTACCCAAAGTATTTCAGGATCCTCGCCGGTGCTACAGAGCCTGTGCACTTTGCTGAGTTTCTTCGGGCTCAGACTTTAGTTAGAAGTGGAATGGAGCAGTTATGGGTTACACCCGTGTGCCATGATATTGATCCGTTGATCAAAACCTCAAAACCACATGTCGCTATCTCAAACAACATAAATAATTTTTTTTTCTGTAGCCCTTTGATGATACTTTAAAAAGCTGCCAAGTATCTTCTCTAGTTATCTGTCTCTCTTTCCATAAATCTTTCTAGTTGTCAAAATATGTTCCAGTTTTACTGCTCTCGTAATGTGGCCAAAGAAGGGATGATAGCCGTTTTTTTCTTATGTTTTTAGCAAGTAGTCTTCGTTGTTTAGCCTCCTATAGAATATCTTGAATATTTTCTCTATGGAATGAGGGTGTTTGAGAAAATAAATGGGACAGACTGGCTGGTAGTGGTATACTGATGCACACAGAGCTGGAGATGTTATCTGGGCCCTTTGGAAACGAGTGAACAGTGACGAGGGACAAACAGCTCGATATGAAGACAATAGTGCAGCGAGAAGTGACGCAATGGATCTGGTCAAACACACAACAGTTAGAGGAGACTCGAAATGGACATAGGAATTCTGAGCTGTCTGCTGAAGAAGGAAAATGGGAATAGCACGAGTGCTATGCTGTCGATTCTAAACTCAGCTCAACTAAAATTACAGAGGTTAACATTTTCGGTCGCACAAGAAATTTTAAATATTCAATTGTAAAATCACCTGTCTGATACATCTGATGTTAAACAGTCTCACATTAGGAATGCAGCATGCATCCCAGGCTAATGACTGCAGCATGCACCCTAGGCTAAAGATTGCAACATGCACCCTAGGCTAAAGACTGCAACATGCACTCAAGAGCTAAAGACTGCAACATGCACCCTAGGCTAAAGACTGCAACATGCACCCAAGGGCTAAAGACTGCAACATGCACCCTAGGCTAAAGACTGCAACATGCACCCTAGGCTAAAGACTGCAACATGCACCCTAGGCTAAAGACTGCAACATGCACCCAAGGGCTAAAGACTGCAACATGCACCCTAGGCTAAAGTCTGCAACATGCACCCTAGGCTAAAGACTGCAACATGCACCCTAGGCTAGAGACTGCAACATGCACCCTAGGCTAGAGACTGCTACATGCATCTTAGGCTAAAGACTGCAACATGCACCCTAGGCTAGAGACTGCAACATGCACCCTAGGCTAATGACTGAAGCATGCACCCTAGGCTAAAAATTGCAGCATGCACCCAAGGGCTAAAGACTGCAACATGCATCCTAGGCTAGAGACTGCAACATGCACCCTAGGCTAAAAACTGCAACATGCACCCTAGGCTAGAGACTGCAACATGCACCCTAGGCTAAAGACTACAACATGCACCCTAGTCTAAAGACTGCAACATGCACCCTAGGCTAGAGACTGCTACATGCACCTTAGGCTAAAGACTGCAACATGCACCCTAGGCTAGAGACTGCAACATGCACCCTAGGCTAAAGATTGCAACATGCACCCTAGGCTAAAGACTGCAACATGCACCCTAGGCTAAAGACTGCAACATACACCCTAGGCTAGAGACTGCTACATGCACCTTAGGCTAAAGACTGCAACATGCACCCTAGGCTAGAGACTGCAACATGCACCCTAGGCTAAAGATTGCAACATGCACCCTAGGCTAAAGACTGCAACATGCACCCTAGGCTAGAGACTGCAGCATGCACCCTAGGCTAAAGACTGCAACATGCACTCTAGGCTAAAGACTGCAACATGCATCCTAGGCTAAATATTGCAACATACACCCTAGGCTAAAGATTGCAACATGCACCCTAGGCTAAAGACTGCAACATGCACCCTAGGCTAGAGACTGCAACATGCACCCTAGGCTAAAGACTGCAACATGCATCCTAGGCTTAAGACTGTAACATGCACCCTAGGCTAAAGACTGCAACATGCAGCCTAGGCTAAAGACTGCAACATGCATCCTAGGCTAAAGACAGCAACATGCACCCTAGGCTAAAGACTGCAGCAAACATTGTAGTTCTTTGCTAATTTTCAGGCCCTCCAGTTTCCACTTTAAGTTGAGAAAATCGATTACTTCTATTGCTGATCTGTTTGGGGCCCAGTAGTTAAACGTGTTGGAGCCCCTGTAGGAAACACAAAATATTTACAAGATAAGGTTAGAAGTTAAATTTAGACATTCGTCCGCACGAACATGAAAAGTAGGGAAAAAAGTGACTTGCGCCATTAAGTGGATTAAAGTGAGGAAGAGTTGCGCACGCAACTTCATCGATTTCACCCTCTCGCCTGTATCCATCTGAATCCAGTGGCAGAACAAGTCGAGACGGCTGGAGAGGAAGTCAGGTGCAGTGGATGACCAGGGTGTTATACGTGCCTCGCCGTGCTCTTTGCGCTCCACAACGTGTTGCCTGTACCCGCCATCAAGCCAGTTAAACAAGGTATTGGCTTTCTCAGCACATTCAGCCGACGAATATAGAAATTATGTTAGATTTGAAGCAGAATCTCTGAAGAAGATAAGATAGAAGTAGATCCATATGAAAGATAAGATTAGAATTAGATAAGCGCCGAAGAGAAACCCACATAGGAAATAGCAATGAGATAAACAACTAAACGATACGCTTATAATAGAAATCATATAGAAGATGAGATTATAAAAAGAGTTTGTGTAGAAGATACGTTTTAAAGCAGATGTCTAGAAAAAAAAAAGAGTATATGTTAAAGCATGATATAAAAATTAGGTTTTATGCAAAATAAATGTAGAAACGTATATCATACGTAGAATCTTGTTAAAAGAAAAGTTTGAAAGTAGACTACCAAATAATACGAAATGGGCAAAACTGTAGGTTTTTATATACAAAACTAGTGCCCTGGGTCAACCTTAGGAATGGTGCAGCTTGGAATGACCACGGGATATGCTAAACATGCGGCGCAAACATTCAATCTGACTGTTGCTGGTATTGTCATCAGAAGTGGAACTGTGCTGTCTGTTGAAGTCGGGGACTAAGTCCTAACAGAAATGCCGTGAGTGCTGTGATGCTGGTTAACTTAACTCAGTTCAGTGCTTCGTCTTTCTGGAAACGAAACCACCCAACAAAGATTCAAAATAGCGGGGGAATGGAGAGTGAGAAGCAACAATGACATTCATTATCTGTTTACATCACCATTGATCACTGGCATCCTGAGAGCTAATAAACTGAAATGGTTGAGGTATTTATGTCAGATGATAGAGAGGTAAAAACTGTATACACAAGATAGCTTAATAGTCGCAGACCACGAGGTAGACCAAGAAGACGATGGAGAGATAATGTTCAGAGAGACCTATAAACGCATGGTGTCATCAACTGGAAAGAAAAGGCCAGCCAGAGAGATAAGTAGAGGCGGATGATATAGGCAACAATGAACTTTAAGGGCTCGGAATGCGGAAGAAGAAAAAGAAGAAGAAAAAGAAGAAGACGAAGAAGACAAAGAAGAAGAAGAAGAAGAAGAAGAAGAAGAAGAAGAAGAAGAAGAAGAAGAAGAAGAAGAAGAAGAAGAAGAAGAAGAAGAAGAAGAAGAAGAAGAAGAAGAAGAAGAAGAAGAAGAAGAAGAAGAAGAAGAAGAAGAAGAAGAAGAAGAAGAAGAAGAAGAAGAAGAAGAAGAAGAAGAAGAAGAAGAAGAAGAAGAAGAAGAAGAAGAAGAAGAAGAAGAAGAAGAAGAAGAAGAAGAAGAAGAAGAAGAAGAAGAAGAAGAAGAAGAAGAAGAAGAAGAAGAAGAAGAAGAAGAAGAAGAAGAAGAAGAAGAAGAAGAAGAAGAAGAAGAAAAAAGAAGAAGAAGAAGAAGAAGAAGAAGAAGAAGAAGAAGAAGAAGAAGAAGAAGAAGAAGAAGAAGAAGAAGAAGAAGAAGAAGAAGAAGAAGAAGTGGAAAAGAAACCGTTAGGACTTACTCTATGTAGGCTGTCCAGTACAGCCTGTCCGTGAAGGTGCAGATGGCAATAAAAGGGTTGGGGTCAAAGGTCATCGAATCATCGAGGAACAAGGCCACAGAGAGGATTTCAAAGTTCATCTTACTCAAGAAGCCACCAAACATGGAGTTCAAGGCTGGGTACAGGTTCTGTGGATTCAATTTGAAAGTTTCTCTTTCAGTACCTGGTCATCGTTTTTAAAAAAATCATGCTCAATGTGGTTTTGCACCAATGACCTACTAAATAAAATAACGAATGATGAAATAAACACAGGCATAAATAGAAGAAGAACTTGAAAAACAATACTTCTTCTTCTTCTTTCGTTCGCATGAAATAAATTGTCTATATCTGCAAAGCCGTCTCTTGTATGAATTTCACTGTCTTTTGTAATTCACTAAGCGGCCCGTAAAGTTTGACTTCCACAAGTGTCTCTTTTGGCCAAATGTTTTGCCTGAAAGCGTTGAATATGGGACAGTCTTGAAGGATGTGATCTGTTGTTTCAGGTGCCAGTCCACAAGTACACATGGCCGATTGGCCAATCTTAAATTTGTTGTACATGTGGGAGCGAAGTCTATTGTGCCCTGTTCTAAGGCGAAGGATAATAACTTGCTCTGGTCTGTCCATAATATGGTAATCATCTTGTGCCAGCTTCGGTGGCATTCTGATTGATTTGATCATTCTCTTCTTCTGTTGATAAGAGACTGGTATGTCAGGTTGTTCTTCAGTTGCACCTTCCTTAGCTAGTTTATCAGCTTTTTCGTTTCCGGGAACTCCACAGTGGGAAGGTATCCACTGCATTACTAATTTACATCGGTTGCCTAGTTCGAATAATAGTGTCCGTATGCTTGGTAATTTTCCAGACTGGAGTGACTGAAGTACTGCTTTTGCATCTGTCAGGAATACCACTGGTTGTGAAAAATACCCTGTATTTAGTAGTTTCTCTACCGCTATCTTGATGGCTTGAACTTCTGCATCATAGTTGTGACAGTGCTTTCCCGTTGGTAGTTTGGCTGTATCCCTGGTATTATTAGGATACTCAAAGTACACTCCCGCACCTCCGTTTCTGACTGCGCTTTCTGCTGACCCATCTGTGTAAACACGGACCCAAAGGTTCTGCGGGTATTTATCATCAAGTAAACTGAGGGTGGCTGTTTTGCGCTGCACACTGTTTTGTTCTTCCTTGTCAAATACCCCTTTCACTTCAGTCTTGATGTGTATTGGAAACTTATACTCCTCTCTCCAGGGGTCCGTTCTGGGACAGCATTTAAGGATCTATCAGTTGCAGGTAAATCAGTGGTTTGTCTGCCGAGCCGTTTGGCCTGGTGGATAAAACTACTCCTCTTTAGTCGTCCCAAAGCTAAATTTTTGAATCTCTCATTCATAGGGTGACTGGGCATACTAAGAAACTTTTCTGCTTGTAAAAGCATCTTGGTGTCTCTGCGTTCACTTAGTGCTTGGGTCACCCCCATTTTCTCCATCACAGCTATAGATGTTGATTTCATACTGCCTGTGGTAACTCTGAGTGCTTGATTTTGCACTTTGTCTAATTCTTGCAATGTGGTTTTTGATGCCGAACTCCATGCTGTTGATCCGTATTCAAGATGTGGTCGAACACTTTGTTGGTAAACTTTTCTAAGTATTTTCCCGCTAGCACCCCACGTGGTTCCACTTAGTTTTCTCAGAATGGCTACCCTCCTTCTGGCTTTGGTTGCTGCCTTGTTGATGTGTTTTCTCCATGTTAATCTATCATCAAACGTTACGCCGAGGTATGTGGGCTCCTTATCCTCTCTCAGGGGTACTCCATTTATGTGCATGGCGCCTGATTTTTGTTTAGGAGAAAGGGTAAAGAGAGTGGTGCTGCATTTGCCTATGTTGATGCTGACACACCATTTGTCGGCCCATTTAGCCATTGCATCTATGGCTCTTTGTAGCAGTCTGGTGGCCACTGTCGCATTTTCATTTGTACACCAGAGTACCAAGTCATCAGCATACATTGCAGCTTTAATTCCATGGGGTAGTTCAGAAAGCAGGTCGTTGGTATAGACTAGGAAGAGTGTGGGGGACAGGACACCTCCTTGTGGGACGCCATGGCGCAGCAAAGCTTTCTTGCTCTTAAGTCCATCTATCTGTACTCGGGATCTTCTGTTATACAAGTATGCTTTGACCCATTTGTACATACTCCCATTCACCCTGCAGTCTCTCAGTTTCTTCAGTAGACCTTCTTTCCAGACCTTGTCAAAGGCTTTCTTCAGATCTATCCATGCCGTTAGCACTAGCTTCTTTTCCTGGAAGGCATCCTCAATTTCTTGTGAAAGGTAAGTTGTCTGGTCTTCTGTGGAGTAGCACTGTCTAAATCCTGCCTGCTGCGGCGTGAAAATGTTTTCACTTTCCAAGTACCATTGGAGTCTAAGGTTGACAATACGTTCCATTGTTTTACAGAGGCAGCTGGTAAGACTGATCGGTCTATAGCTGGAGGCATCAGAACTGTCATTTCCTGGTTTAAGCAGAGGTATTGTGATTGCTTCTCTCCATATTTGAGGAACTTTGCCACTGGTCCAACAATGATTAAAGATCTGTAGCAGCTTTATTTTGGCAGTTGTTCCAAGGTTCTTGATCATTTCGTTCGTGATTCCATCAGTTCCAGGTGATTTTCCCATTCTCAGCTTTTATATTGCTAATTCTAACTCGCTGGATGTAAATGCTGCCACCAGTGCCTCAGGAATTATATCTTTTTGTCTTGTATGTTGTTTGTTTTCTTGAACCTCTCGCTGTTTCTCTGGGCTGAAATTAATGTTGCTGTCTTCTGCAAAGGAATCTGCAAAGTGGTCAGCTGCCTGTTTTCTTGTTAGGATGGCTCCCTCTTTGCACAGTGCAATATAACAATTTCTCCCTGTATTCTCAGCATTAATTTGCTTAATTAACCTCCACAACTTCCTTGTGTCTCTTTCAAAGTTTAGGGACTTTGTCTTTTCCTGCCAGCTTCTCCGTCTAGCCTGCAGTTTGGCTCTTTGAAATTTGGCCTTTGAATGTTGGTAGTTGTTAAACTGCTCTTGACAAGGTCTGTTTTCTTTCTGTTTCCATATTGTTGTGCAGTTGCTCCAGATCGCAATTCCAGTACGGTTTGTATTGTTTACGCGCAACTCTTGGAACTGCTTCTAGGGCTGCCTGCAGTATGTGTTTGCTCAACTCTTGGACTACTTTTTCTACGTCGTTATCTGTGTTAAGATTTTCCAGCAGAACATTTGTGCGAAGCTGATATAACTTCCAGTCTGCCTTCTTAAAATTCCACCTTGGCAGTGTGCTGCTCTCTCTTACAGACTGGCTTTCGATAGTTAGAAAGACTGGCCGGTGGTCACTGCCTCCTAGTTGCTTCCCAACAGTTCTGGGTAACATTCAGTTCCATGTCTGCTGAGTGAAAGGCTAGGTCTGGTGTCGAGGTGGTATGCCATGCTCTAGAGTAGAAGGTTGGTGGGTCGGTTGGCTTATTAACGAGGATGAACCTATTCTCATCCTGCCAGTCCTCTAGTTTCTCTCCTCTCTGGTCCATATGATCATAGCCCCAACTTTGGGAATGGCTATTAAAATCCCCACAAATGATCATTTTTTCATTTATTAGTACAGTATCCAGTGCCTGAGGGCGGTCGCTCGGACAGTAATAGTTGGTCAGATGTAAATCTGTATTTTCTAACTTGAGCTCAAGAGTTTGATACTCAGCAACTTCCATGTATGTTTCGATCCGGCCCGCAAGGATGTTATTTTTGACCAGGGTAAGAATTCCACCTTTTCTCCTGTCTTTGCGGTCAGATCGGAAACACTGGTAGCCTCTGATCTTAAAGGCCATATCTTGCTTGAGATACGTCTCTTGTAGGCAGCATACATGTACATTCTCTTCGTTCAAGACGTTTTCTAATTCCAATTTCTTGGGATGTACTCCCTCCGCGTTCCAGTGCATTATTTTAAAGCTAGCTGTATTTTCTGCTTTTCTGGTTCTACGGGGCATGAGGGGGAGGCTTCGAGTATTTGAAGCTGGACTCTTTCTTCTTGTCGTAGGCCGGTAAATCGAACGACGTGTACGTGAGTGGGTCTCATGGTGGAAATCAAACTTATTAGCAGATATAGAAATATTCCCTGTTGCGTTTGTGCGTGGCATCCTGATTGCTGTGGTGCGCCTCCTGGCTGGTTGCCTCCGACTTCAGCACCTTGTTATGCTAGAGTAGACTGGGGTCTTACCCGTGGACTCCCATGTTTATAATGGGAGCGTGGCTCCTACGCGGTTACATTATCGGAATTAGGACACGGCCGCCGCCGTAGCTATTTTGTGGAAATAATTCCGTTATTTTACTTTTTACTTTTTCCTTCCACGTATGCCGCTAAGCGTTGTGGGGAGATGCAAGTTCCTGTCATAAGCAAGGCGGGCAGCATCTGATGTTCTGAGGCCATGCTTTTGGCAGGTTTCGGAGACCCCGTCAATCCACAGTTTCCTTGGTCTTCCTCTTGCCTTATATCCTGAGCTCCTTTGGTTGAAAATTTGTGATGTTATTTGATCATTTTTCATCCTGGTTAGATGTCCAAACCATTTCATTCTTTGATGTTCTATGTAGTCTAAACATGGTGTAGTTTTGACAGTGTTTCTAATGTCTATATTCTTTATCCTGTCTAGTCTGGTCTTATTCGCTGCTTTTCTTAGACATTTCATTTCACAGACTTCTATTTTTCTTTCATGGGTCTTGTTGATTGTCCATGTCTGGCACTGGTAGCAGAGTGTTGGAATAAAGATGGTGTTTATCAATAATTCCGTTATAACACCCCTAAACCACATAATGCTTGTATCCACGAACAAGAAAATGTCCATCGTCAATGAATTAGTAATAATCGCACTCTGTTATCAAGAGAAAAAACACCGATTAAGTGAAAATTTTAGAATAAAATCGTGTGTCGCCGCAAACACGTCCTCACGCTGCCATTTCTAAACCGGAAGTCAAAAAAAAAAAAAAAACAATACTAATTTGATTTGATTGATTTGATTTGATTCGATTCAAGAACTGACATTACAGCACTCAGAGCATTCCCATAAGCGCTCCGTCACCTTCTTCAGCAGCCAGCGAAGAGATCCGATACTAATGGTGCCAGTAGCATTCTGATTAAACGTCCGTCTTGCCTTTCCTCGGAGCCTCGAGCATCTGCCAGAACCTCTCGTCACCTCCAACTGCATCAATCTCACCAGACTGTAATGATCCATCTGCTCTTCCGAATTGTACACGCTCTCCCACAAGGCACTAACCAAGTCTGCCTTTTCATGTATCAGTATTCCACCAAGTTGTGCAGAGCCAGCTAGTAGGACAAAAAATACTGAACGTTGAATTAAAGATGAAATCACAGGGCTCGCAACACTCCCATATGCGCCCGGTTCCCATCCTCAGGTGCAAGCGAAGAGCTCCAATTCCGATGGTATGATGATAACTGTCAGTACATCCGTCTCCCCTTTTCCTCCAGTGTTGAGCGTCGGCCAGATCTCCTGGTACTTCAAGACTCAAAAAGAAATAGACAAGGCAGGACAGAATGAACATACGCAGAAAGGAGGGGAAAAAAGACATTCAAGGAAAAAATACAGTGTAATAAATAAGCAAGCAAACGAATGACATGGGTGGATACAAGATAAAAAAGAATAATAAATAATGAAAGAAATGACTTCAGGGGAATATAAAAGAACTCAGTGGAACAACAAGGTAACAATGTAACAAAAAATTTGAGATGCGTTAAGCTGAGTTGAGAATCGACACTACATCGCTCGAGACATTCCTATGAAAGCTTCCTCCTTATCTTCAGCAGCCAGCATAGATTTCTGGTTTCAGTCGTACCACTGGCAGTTTGATTCTGTGTTTCTATTTCCTCTAAGTGTGGAAGGTCTACCAGATGCCTGATCAACCCTCACTGTTTCGTTCTCTTCAGAAATATAACAAGGTCAGGATGGACACAAGACGAAAGAAACGCTTAAAGAAAGAATTAAAGAATTAAAGAAAGAAATAAATAAAAAAAGAAAGAAAGAATTAACGACAGAACGAAAGAAAGAAGAAATAATAAAAGAAAGAATGAACAAAAAAAGAAAGACAGAAAGAAAGAAAGACAAACAGACAGAAAGAAAAAAAGAAAGAAAGAAAGAAAGAAAGAAAGAAAGAAAGAAAGAAAGAAAGAAAGAAAGAAAGAAAGAAAGAAAGAAAGAAAGAAAGAAAGAAAGAAAGAAAGAAAGAAAGAAAGAAAGAAAGAAAGAAGAAAGAAAGAAAGAAAGAAAGAAAGAAAGAAAGAAAGAAAGAAAGAAAGAAAGAAAGAAAGAAAGAAAGAAAGAAAGAAAGAAAGAAAGAAAGAAAGAAAGAAAGAAAGAAAGAAAGAAAGAAGGGTGGAACAAAGAAACAAAGGAGAAAGAAAAACATAAAGACAAAGAGACAGAAAGAAGAAACAAACAAACAAAGAAGTAAAGAAAGAAAGAAAGAAAGAAAGCATATTGTAGGAATAAAAGAGACTATTCACTGGAATGGTATAGAAATGTGAAGCAACGGTTCTCACATTGTACTCCACGTAATCATTGTGCTTCTGTTTGAATTTCTTATATATCCTCATGTAGCGGTCCCTCTGCTCCTTATAGAGACGTGTGTACGTTGTAAGGTACTCCAGTGGGGTCATTTCTGTCAAAAATGAAAGTCGCAATGGTGCTAAAAAGCACTATATATATATATATATATATATATATATATATATATATATATATATATATATATACAAAAACTCAGTCAAAATACATTGCTGATGTTGTTTACAGCTAGGCAGCGATTACTACTCGTAAATGTCTAACAAATTAAGAAGAGATCGGAAGCAGCTGAGATGTGGTTCTTGAGAAGAATGTTGAGAATACCTTGGACTGCCAGAATAACTAACAATAACTGACTGGAAATGGCTAACGAAAGTACAACATCATTTACAACAATGAGAAGGAAACATTGTTTTTTGGTCATGTAATGAGAAAAAGAGCCCTGGAAATTTTCGTGACGACTGGAAAGATCACTGGTAGAAGAGGTAGAGGCAGACCAGGAGAAACGATGGTGAATGGCTTCAGACAATGGTATGGAGGAATATCATCAGTGGAATTCATCCAGAACACAAAAGACCGGGATCTGTGGTGACACCTGCACGACTAAGCCAGCTGGCAAGGCACTTGATGATGTTTATGATGTGTCTAACACATCCGATTTCTAAAACCCTTAATCAGTCGTCATTTATTAATCGCTTCTTACGGAACAGTGGGTGCGTTCATCGCACCCCATATAACCGGCTCTGGGGACCCACACTGAAATCCATTTGTTTAGTAGGATCAATTCAATGAACATAACATGCAACTAGGACGATGTTAAGATGTTATCAACTAAAATACCTTTTTCACAAGAGTAAAAAACATCTTGGACTATAAGAAGAAGAACTGGCAGACAGTACTCACGCCCACTTACTCTCAAGGTGGGACTTGTTCATTGGCAGCTCGTAGCGAGCCGACCTGCAGGCAGTCTCTAGGCGGGATACCACATAGGCAGGCATGCCTCGGGTATCCAAGGGAAGCTGGGGAAGACATTTGACTTGATCGGTTTGGGGTATAGATATTTGTCTTTAATAAATCAGAAAACTAATCAAAGGAAAATACAAGGAATTGTAGAGAGAACAAACTAACAGTAAACATCCACAAGACCCCCATCAGAAGACTCAACAAACAGCAACCTACAACAATTTTCCGTCTACGAACAGGGCACTGCAGGCTCAACTATGCATAAAATAAAGACTGTACAGTCCCCACAGTGTGCCTGTCAAACAGGACAACAAACAGCTGAGCACATTATGCATACCTGTCCACTCTACCTACAACTTCGAAAAGACACCTGCCTTCAAGAGCAAAGTGTGCAGAGCAAGCTATGGGGAACCATGAAGAACCTGCTTCTGACATGCGAGTTTAAAGAGACAACTTACCTGATGGTCTGATCTGAGCATACGAAACCGAACGCAAAGGCAAAGAAGAAGTCTTTAATAAAACTATTCCTATCATCGGCATCACCATCACAACTGCTGTCATCGTTGTTATTATCATTATCATCATCAGCAACAACACCATCATAAAATCAGCAACATCACTATCATCATCTTCATCAACACCATTATTACAACCATCATCACGTTCTACTAGTAATAGTCCTACCAGTAATACTACGTCTATAAATGCTTCTTCCTAAAGTCCAGTGGTTCTCAACCTTCCTAATCCCGCGACCCTTTCTTACAATTCGTCATGTTTTGGAGACCCTTTCAAACAGTTTCTCATTTTGTAGCGACCGCCAAACATACAATAATATTTATTATTACTTCACAACCTCAATGAGTGTGTGTTCTCCGGTGGTCTTCGGCGACATTTGTGAAGGGGTCCTTTGACTTAAAAAGGGGTGACGACCCGCAGGTTGAGAACCGCTGTTATAGTCCATGCCGAGTGGGTTTTGTAGTCATCTATGTCTACTGATACTTCTTATAGTCCATGCCGTGTGGGTTTGGTAGTCATCTACGTCTACTGATACTTCTTATAGTCCATGCCGTGTGGGTTTGGTGGTCATCTACGTCTACTGATACTTCTTATAGTCCATGCCGTGTGGGTTTGGTAGTCATCTATGTCTACTGATACTTCTTATAGTCCATGCCGTGTGGGTTTGGTAGTCATCTACATCTACTGATACTTCTTATAGTCCATGCCGTGTGGGTTTGGAAGTCATCTACGTCTACTGATACTTCTTATAGTCCATGCCATGTTGGTTCGGTAATCATCTACGTCTACTGATACTTCTTATAGTCCATGTCGTGTGGGTTTGGTAGTCATCCACACCTACTAATAACTTCCTATAGTCCATGCTGTGTGGGTTTGGTAGTCATCCACTTCTACTGATATTTCTCATAGTCCATGCCGTGTCGGTTTTGTAGTCATCTACGTCTACTGATACTTTTTATAGTCCATTCTGTGTGGGTTTGGTAGTCATCTACGACTACTGATACTTCTTATAGTCCATGCCGTGTGGGTTTGGTAGTCATCTATGTCTACTGATTCTTCTTATAGTCCATGCGTGTGGGTTTGGTAGTCATCTACGACTACTGATACTTCTTATAGTCCATGCCGTGTGGGTTTGGTAGTCATCTACGACTACTGATACTTCATATAGTCCATGCGTGCGGGTTTTGTAGTCATCCACGTCTACTGATACTTTTTATAGTCCATGCCGTGGGGGTTTTTGGTAGTCATGTACGTCTACTTATACTTCTTATAGTCCATGCGTGTGAGTTTGGTAGTCATCTACGTCTACTAATACTTTTTATAGTCCATGCGGTGTGGGTTGGATAGTCATCTACATTTACTGATACTTCTTATAGTCCATGCCGTGTGGGTTTGCTAGTCATCTATGTCTAGTGATACTTCTTATAGTCCATGCCTTGTGGGTTTGGTAGTCATCTATGTCTACTGATACTTCTTATAGTCCATGCCGTGCGGGTTTGGTAGTCATCTACGTCTACTGATACTTCTTATAGTCCATGCGTGCGGGTTTGGTAGTCATCCACGTCTACTGATACTTTTTGTGGTCCATGCCGTGTGGGTTTGGTAGTCATCTACGTCTACTGATACTTCTTATAGTCCATGCTGTGTGGGTTTGGTAGTCATCTACGTCTACTGATACTTCTTATAGTCCATGCGTGCGGGTTTGGTAGTCATCCACGTCTACTGATACTTTGTATAGTCCATGCCGTGTGGGTTTGGTAGTCATCTACGTTTACTGATACTTCTTATAGTCCATGCTGTGTGGGTTTGGTAGTCATCTATGTCTACTGATGCTTCTTATAGTCCATGCGTGCGGGTTTGGTAGTCATCCATGTCTACTGATACTTTTTATAGTCCATGCCGTGTGGGTTTGGTAGTCATCTACGTTTACTGATACTTCTTATAGTCCATGCTGTGTTTTTTTTGGTAGTCATCTATGTCTACTGATGTTTCTTTTTGTCCTTGCCGTGTGGGTTTGGTAATCATGATGACTATCCACAACCTTCTGGCTCGTGTACTTTCCATCAACTTGACACAGATGATCTTCCATAGCATAATGTCGAACTGCCCAGAATCGTCTTTCTCGGTATCCCTTTACATCTTTTTCACTCCATTTTCCCACTGTCGCGACGTACTCCTGTTTTCTCCTTCTAGTGACATGACCAAAGAATGTAAAAAAAATCATTAGTGATTAGAAAGGATTATCATCACAGCACTTCGGATAGATCCATAGGTGCTCCACAAGTATAAAACGACTGATGACGCCTGTTCTGTGTTGATTAAGGAAATATCTTGTCCCCCTAATGAAATATTCATTTCTTGCAGCTCCAGGCTGCATCCCCATGTCCATCAGTGTAGACAGGGATACGGAGTCATGTCCTTTGGCGTGCTCCTCGGTAATGTAAGTGCAGAATCTAGAATCTCACCTACTACTGCTGCTGCTGCTGCTGCTGCTGCTGCTACTACTACTACTACTACTACTACCACTAACACCACCACTGCTACCACTACCACTACTACTTCTGCTACTGCTGATGCTGCTGCTACCACTACTACTACCACCTCTACTACTCTACTACTACTAGTATGTTTGACATTAAGTACTACTAGTGTTTCCGCTCTACTCTGCTGCTGCTTCATCTGCTTCTACTACTGCTGCTACTACTACTAACAAAATTGTACTACTACTACTATTACTATTACTATTACTACTATTACTATTACTACTACTACTACTACTACTACTACTACTACTACTACTACTACTACTACTACTACTACTACTACTACTACTACTACTACTACTACTACTACTACTACTACTACTTTTATCATATGTATTGTTTGCCTGTTTGCCAGCCCATCTATCTTTCTGCCTGCATATCTTGTTCTCTCATTTTCTGTCTGTAAGCCTATCTACATGTCTGTTGTCTACCTGCCTGTCTTCTTGTCTGTCTATACTTTAACTTGATCTTGTTGTCTGCTGGCATGATTTCTTGTGTGTCTATATTTCAACTAAATATTTTAATGAATAAATTAATTGAACAATGTGTGAAAGAATGTAGTCGCAAGGGTAGAATAATAGACGTATTTGCATGTTCATTTTTAACCTGTCTAAAATAAAGTTCAATCTCTCGGTCTCTTTTCTTTTAACTATCTGCATCTCAGTTTTACATTTCCTAATTTCACTAACGAATTCTGCTATTTATTTTTTCTTAATTCTCTCTCTCTCTCTCTCTCTCTCTCTCTCTCTCTCTCTCTCTCTCTCTCTCTCTCTCTCTCTCTCTCTCTCTCTCTCTCTCTCTCTCTCTCTCCAACTTTCATCCAGTGCCTTACCTTTCTGTCTGTTGCCTACACGGCTATCTTCAGTTTACACAGAACTCACCCACGTCAGCATCTCTAAACCAGACAACTCATGAATCATGCATGCACAAGGGCTTGCTTCCTAGATCTGGTCTCCTGGAACCTTGCACTGTAAAACTACAGTACAGTTCCGCCATCGACTTTTTACACCTATCTATCTGCCTGTCTATTTTAATCAGCTTTTAACGTGTTCGCTTTTGTGTCTGTGTTTGTATTTCTGGTCAAATATTTGCTTTTGATTTAACACAATTTCCTGATAAGCGACCGAGCTCAACTTTTGCAAAATTATATTTCATGGATGACAATACAATCTGATGTAAACACATTGGTAAGTTTTCTTTTAGTACCTCTCTGGGATATTGAAGGCGTGATCACCCACACACTCGAAGAGTCTAAGTCTGGGTGGCAAACCTACAGAGCATATTTCAGGTACCGCCTTCAACCTCCAGATAATTTATGAGGGCACCTTTACTGCTATACCAGGTTACTGAAACCTGCAGTCTTCAACTGGAACGGATAAGTCGTCTTTAGAACTAGCCTCGCATTTGTCGAGCCCGCCCAAGCTACACGACCCTGACAGCATCTAAACCTATGCCTTAGCGAATATAAGCAAAAAAATTACCACACAACCCAACGAAGCAGCGTCCGTGGCTTAGGCGTTGGAACTCCGACTCGTAATTCCAACGTACCGCGATCGAAACCCATTGCTGGCTGCGTAGATTTTTATTGTGGTATGGGGCCTCGCAGGTGGACCAAACCTAAAATGGGTAACAGCATAATGCAGGCATCATTACCCACCTAGTGCCGACTGGTCTGTAAAAATATTGGTGCTTTTCCTATGTTCCCGATTCGCCTAAAGGCGTGAAAAGGGATCTTTACTTACTCTTGCCATATTTTTTTTTTTTTTCAGTTGTCGCCTTTTATAAAAAGTCAAATAACTTCATCTACCGTCCGCAGGCCTGCAGTTTACACTGCACTTGTACAACCTTCGTTGGTGCGGTGATCGCTGCTTTGTAGAGGTTAAGCGGGGTATCCTGTGCTCTTATATGGAGAAGCAAATCTCCTTATGTGAGAATATAGTGTAGTATATCACTTACTAGTATGTTTGTTTAAGGAAATAGTGTGTTACTAATGAGAATGGCTAGTTTCGAGAACTGGAAGCTAGCCTCATAGAATCTCTTATTATGAAAGTTAAGGAAAAAAATGAAAATTCGTATCACCGTGGAAGCCACCGTGAGGTAGTGGCTTGTCGCTTGCCAGACCACCTGAAGGTCAAAGGTTCGAATCTGCGTCGTCGCGGAAATTTTTTTTTTCTAACCTGACCTCAACATCAGGTATACGGAGCATTAGGAAAAAGAGGCTACCAGTTGAGTCTTTGAAAGTAAAGACGGCCGGCGTTATGTTGACCCATTCACACATCAAGTACCCAACCGGTCTAACAAAATGGGAGTCTAGAAGCAAATGTTCAATAAGTAACCGTCCGGAAAATGGTCCTTTACCACATTACATTACTAGATTACTATACTACAATAATTTATTATAATACTTTACTAGACTGTTCAACTAGATTATTTTACTAGATTACTTTGCACGAATACTAGATTACTTTGCAAGATTACTTCAATAGATTACTTTGAAAGATTACTTTACTATATTGTTTTACAAAATTACTTTACTAGATTGCTTTACGAGATTATTTTACAAGAGTACCTTACTAGATTGCTTTGCTAGATTGTTTTACAAGAATATCTTACTAGATTGCTTTACTAGATTATTTTACTAGATTACCTTACTAGATTGTTTAACAAGATTACCTCACTAGACTGCTTTACTAGATTGTTTTACAAGATTACCTTACTAGATTGTTTTACAAGATTATCTTACTAGATTGTTTTACAAGATTACATTATTAGAGTTTTTTTTACAAGATTACCTTTCTAGATATATTTACAAGATTACCCTACTGGATTGTTTTACAAGATTAAATTATTTTATTGTTTTACAAGATTACCTCTCTATATTGTTTTACAAGATTACATTATTAGATTGTTTAACAAGATTACTTTACTAATTTGCTTTACAAGATCACCTTACTATATTGCTATACAAGATTACCATACTAGACTGTTTTACTAGATTGTTTTACAAGATTACCTTACTAGATTGTTTTACAAGATTACTTACTAGATTGCTCTACAGATTGTTTTACAAGATTACTTACTAGATTGCTCTACAAGATTACCTTACTATATTGCTTTACTAGATTATTTTAATAGATCGCATTACTAGATTACCTTATTAGATGACTTTCCTATAATACTTTACTATATTACCATAATATTATTTCGCTAGATTACTTTACTAAATGACTTTACTACATTACTATATTTGATTACTAGATCTCTTTACATGTTTCTTTACAAGATTACTCTACTAGATTGCCTCATAAGATTACTTTATAAGATTCCTTTACTAGGTAACTTTCCTAGATTACTTTCCTACATTACTTTCCTAGATCACTTTACAAGATTCCTTTACTAGATTACTTTACAAAGTTCCTTTACTAGATTACTTTCCTTGATTACTTTACTACATTACTTTCTTAGATTACTTTACTAGATTCCGCTACAAGAGTGCAGTGGCGAGGCTGCACGTAACGGCTGTAATCGGCGCTTACACTTTCGTTTGCAAAAAAAAAAAAATTGTATTAGTTTACTTTTTATTATTTTTTTTACTGTTTATTATAATTTCGCCACTAATTTTACCTCTCGTACGGAAAGCGTGAAGCAGTACTGCGTTAATTGGTCTTTCCTCTTGAACCTAGTGCGGCGCATCAGGCAGAGGTCATAACTCTCTGTGTCTGGTAGATCGTTGCTACCTGCCTGCCTTAGGTCTTGGTTGTTCATCAGGCCCATGGTTAAGCCTTCCCTGATGATGGTTGTACGCAAAGTCTCTCTTGGTCTTCACCATTTTCGGGTGCCAACATGAGGGCTTGATGGGAGAGTCTGGTCTTATCCTTCTTCTTCTTCTTCTTTCGTTTTTCTTAAAATAGATTATCTATATCTGCAGTGTTGTCTCCAGTGTGATCTTTAATGTCTGTTGTAATGGTCTTATCCATTCTGAGTGCATGGGTGAAGTATGTAGTAGTATTACCATAAAGAAAGAAATGCGAATTAAACTATAATGTTGACGTTTGTAGCTTAGTTACAGGGGTCGTAGACCTCAACTGCAGGTGATGTGGAAACAGACCGCATGGCGTCGGTTTTGACAGCGATATCAAGAACCGACCGTTGAGGCCAATGGCGGCCATCTGTAGGTAAAATCGTCTAGCAAAATCACCCCCCCCCCCCCCTTTTCCAACACACACACTAATAAAAACATACTGGAGTTGGTCCTGCAACGTCCTGTATATGATATTCAACAATTGTTTTTTTTATTTAAAGCTTCAGTGACAGCGCCAAATGAAGTTTCAGTATAGCCTGGCGGTCCTAAATCTTCAGGCTCAAGGCTCCTGTCTACACGGTCCCCTGTTTTCTTTTTATGCCTGTCTAGTCCCCAATAGAGCATAGACCCTCAACCATTCTATCTTTCGCTTTGGCATGCAGCTCTTCCCATGTCCTCAACATCTTTTTTAACTTATCTCCAGCTCCCCTCTCAGTGTATGTTTTGGCCTTCCTTTATACCCATGACCCTGTATGTTCCAATGCCAAGATATTCTAGTTACATTGTTCTCTGGTTTTCTCAATGTGTGTCCTATCCAACGCCAACGTCTTTTTTTCACCCCTTGGTCCACTGGAGCTTGCTTAGCTCTCTCTCTCTCTCTCTCTCTCTCTCTCTCTCTCTCTCTCTCTCTCTCTCTCTCTCTCTCTCTCTCTCTCTCTCTAAGCTCTACATTAGTGATTCTATCCTACCATTCAATTCCCTCTATTCTGCGCAGACACCAGTTAATGACTGCACCACCCTGAACAGTGTTAAAACAGACAGTAGTGACAATTTTGTAGGTGTATCAACGTTTAGCAAAAAACACACCGGCAGTGGCGAAGCGTGCAATTATACTAACTTAGCTACTTACCGGAACAAACGCGATCTTTCTGTTGATGTTTTGACTGATCATTTTCTCAAACTGCAAGGATTTATCCATCTTGTACCTTTTCGATATTGGGTGCTCCCTGCTAGGTGACCTTAATTAAAAAAAAAAAAAAAATCACGTTCGGAACTATTTCTGTTGCGTAAGTGTGGAAAACTCATCTTTTATTTATCTGTTTTTCCTCAGGTGTGGATTTTTTTCATGGTTTGGGGCGTCGCAGGTCGAGCCAGCCTTAAATGGGTACCAGGATGTATGTCCTGGGAAAGAAAAGACGGTCTGCTCAATGCTGACCACAATACCCACCTAGTGCTGATTGGTCTGAAAAAATGTGGGTGCTCTTCCGATATGCCCGATGCGCCTAAGGCGTAGGAAGGGATCTTCACTTTTTTCACTTTTACTTTTGTCAGGTTCATTGAGAAAGTCTGCAGGAACTTCAGCCTATTTTCTTGTCCCTCTCTTTCCTCTGTCTCCTGTTCTGGGAAAATAAAGGGGTTGGGTGGAGGGTGGTTAGGTAGAGAGAGAAAGAGAGAGAGAGAGAGGGGTAAGGGGGGGGGGGGGTAACTAATTCAAGGTGCCTTGGAAGAAGAATAAACCAACACAGAACTGCTGTCGTCAACTGTGAGGATATACCGAGGAGGGAGTCTGTGCATTGATGGACAGAATGGTTCGTTGTGCAATCAGCATGATCTGTCGACCAACTAGCTAGCAGCGGTTTGTGGTTCGGGCTGCATCTTCTTAGTTCTGGTCAGCCTCTGGCCAGCCTCTGGTCAGTCTCCGGTCAGTCTCTGGTCAGCCTCTGGTCAGCCTCTGTTCAGGCTCTGGTCCTGTCTTTGACTAAGCTTGTGTCGTCGACTCAGCAGAGTCTGCAGAATCATCGTCAGGTGTTGTATTTTTGCTTTTAGAGTCACCGCCCTCGTTTTTTTTTTTTTAAATATGTGTGTGGATGTCTTGTAAGTTGAGGAATATGCTGTGGTGGAGGCTGTTGCTTCAGAAGTGGATGAAGAGGATATTGATGAGGTTGTCTCTCCGTTCAGCCACTTAAGCCCCGCCCCAACAACCACTTCCCCTCCCCCCCCCCCCCATCACAAGAAAAAGACTATTACTGCTGCGTAACTTCGGAAAACTCATATCTTATTTATCTGCCTGTCGCCAGTTTCATTAAGTAAGTCAAGACCAGTGTTTTCAGTGTGTTGTGTATGTGTGTGTGTGTGTGTGTGTGGTGTGTGTGTCGGCGTGTGCGTGTGTGTCTGTACGTATGGATGTATTATTGTTTATCATTAAAATGTGCGTATGTATGAGTGTGTGTACGACTGTGTGTGAGAATATGTCTGTCTGTCTGTCTGTCTGTCTGTCTGTCTGTCTGTCTGTCTGTCTGTCTGTCTGTCTGTCTGTCTGTCTGTCTGTCTGTCTGTCTGTCTGTCTGTCTGTCTGTCTGTCTGTCTGTCTGTCTGTCTGTCTGTCTGTCTGTCTGTCTGTCTGTCTGTCTGTCTGTCTGTCTGTCTGTCTGTCTGTCTGTCTGTCTGTCTGTGCGTGTGATTGCGTGCGTGCGTGCGTGCATGCATGCATGCATGTATGTGTGTGTGTATGTGTGTGTGTATGTGTGTATGTATGTATGTATGTATGTATGTATGTATGTATGTATGTATGTATGTATGTATGTATGTATGTATGTATGTATGTATGTATGTATGTATGTATGTATGTATGTATGTATGTATGTATGTATTATAGTTTATCATTAAAATGTGTGTATGTATGAGTGTGTGTACGACTGTGTGTGAGAATATGTCTGTCTGTCTGTCTGTCTGTCTGTCTGTCTGTCTGTCTGTCTGTCTGTCTGTCTGTCTGTCTGTCTGTCTGTCTGTCTGTATGTCTGTCTGTACGGTGTGTGTGTACGTGTGAGTGCGTGTGTTGCGTGCGTTGCGTGCATGCATGCATGCATGCATGCATGTATGTGTGTGTGGTGTGGTGTATGTGTGTGTGTATGTATGTATGTATGTATGTACGTATGTATGTATGTATGTATGTTGTATGTATGTATGTATGTATGTATGTAGTATGTATGTAGTATGTATGTATGTATGTAGATGTATGGTATGTATGTATGTATGTATGTATGTATGTATGTATGTATGTATGTATGTATGTATGTATGTATGTATGTATGGATGTCTGTATGTCTGTATGTATGTATGTATGTATGTATGTATGTATGTATGTATGTCGATGTATGTATGTATGTATGTATGTATGTATGTATGTATGTCATGTATGTATGTATGTATGTATGTATGTATGTATGTATGTATGTATGTATGTATGGCTGTATGTATGTATGTATGTATGTATGTATGTATGTATTGTATGTATGTATGTATGTATGTAGATATGTATGTATGTATGTATGTATGTATGTGTAGGTATGTATGTATGTATGTATGTATGTATGTATGTATGTATGTATGTATGTACGGTAGCATGTATGTATGTATGTATGTATGTATGTATGTATGTATGTATGTATGTATGTATGTATGTATGTATGTATGTATTTATGTATTGTGTGTATGTATGTATGCATGTATGTATATATGTGTTTGGACGTGACTGTGTGTATATATATATATACATATATATGTGAGTGTAAGTGAGTTGGTGGGTGGGCGTAAGTATATGGGTTTGTATGTACTCGTTTTTTTTTTCCTTGAAATTCATTTTGTGTATATTATTCATTATTATATGAAGATAGCAAACCTAATTGATAGTATGCCGTGTGAAAGATAGGTGTTTGGAAGAGCCGAATGTAAAACAGGCCTGGTACCAAATGTGTGACCCTCTGAAAATAAAGCTAGTTCGTCTGTTCTTTCTTCAAACAGTGGGCCACGGTCCCCTGATGGGCCTTTGAAGGTCTAGGCGGACTGTTACAAATTATCTGTCTTATCGTGCAACGTGTCAGTTAGTGTAGGGCATTCTCTCTCCCCCCCCCCCCCTCCCTTTTTTTTAGAAATCTTTAATTGCAGTCCTAATGGTTAACACTTTAAAAAGAATCTCCCAAAAATTGTCACATCGGCTGAAAACTATATTTCTCTAACTTCGCATTTATTAAATAACCCCCCCCCCCCCCTCCCTCTTATTGTTTTTGTTTTGTTTCTGTATTTGGTTAGCGCTCAGCTGGCTCGATACGTTTTCCTGTTTTGTTTGGCACGGTGGTTAAAGGGCAAAAAAAAAAAAAAACCGTTCAGAAACACAGGTCTAGAAGCCTTTGAAAAACAAAGGTCTATTTTCTTGTCTTTCTTATTTCTCTGTCTCGTTTCCAGTTGCACAGAAACCAGTGAATTCAGGGACTTAACGGACTCCCCCGCCCCTTCCCCCTCCACACACACAAAAGATTACCAGACAAACAGGAAACAAACATGAGAAGCTTCACTGCTGTGTAACTGTGGGAAAACCCCTCTCTTAGTTTTTTGCCGGTCGCCAGTTTCCCTAAGACTTTGTGTAAATGATATTCATGTGTTCAATGTCAGGAGCAGGCTGATAGATTAGCTGCTGTCGCTACTATGGGCAGTGAGATTACCAAATCATAAAGTGGGCATGGTGAAGGTTCTATGGTATCGACTGGGCAGCGCAAAAAAAAAAACAGTTGGGAAATCCATACATTGAAAGACTAATTCAACGGAGGTGGAGGAAAAGGGTGAAAAGGGGGGGGGGGGTGGAATGAGAACGCAAGTAGACTTTCTAACATATATTTAACATTAGAAGGGAAAGAGAGTTGAACGGCAGCTGGTGTTATTACCGGTATGTCAGCTTGTCAGTGGTTATTGAAAAAGGGGACAGAGGACGTACGGGAATGTCCCGGTTTCAGTTATGCCAGTTTTTGATTAATTCACTTATTCTTTAGGGGGCTTTCTGTCTATGTATATGTCCCTCCCTCTCCTTTCTCTGTCTCGTCTTGTAGGGTGCCGGATTATGTGTGTTCAGGCCCCCTAAAGATTGTGGGTGGGCTGAGCCCAAAACATGTATAATAGTCTCCTTTTTAAACTCAGCGCATAATTTTAATTCTTCTTTTTTTTCTTTTTCTTCTTCTTCTTCTTCTTCTTATTCTTCTTCTTCTTCTTCTTCTTCTTCTTCTTCTTCTTCTTCTTCTTCTTCTTCTTCTTCTTCTTCTTCTTCTTCTCTTCTTCTTCTTCTTCTTCTTCTTCTTCTTCTTCTTCTTCTTCTTCTTCTTCTTCTTCTTCTTCTTCTTCTTCTTCTTCTTCTTCTTCTTCTTCTTCTTCTTCTTCCTCCTCCTCTTTTTCTTCTTCTTTTTCTTCAATTTCCTCTTTTTTATAATCATCATTACCATTATCATTATAATCATCTTATTATTATTATTATCATTATCATTTTCATTATTATTATTCATCTATGTACTTCTTCGTTTGCCTTTATTAGAAGGCCGGTTAGCACATTTATCTTATTGCGCGTATTTTCAGTCCTGTTACGACATCTGCTTCTTTTGGCCCAAAGCATTCGATTTTAGCAAACCCCTAATTAGTCGCCTCTTAAGACATGCTTGTTAAACAGCGGTAGTTGTTATTTCCGCCACGACTACTTAACTTGACAGGAGTCACCAAAATCCAAAACGGAGAATGTGGTTAACACAACACCAGTCGCCATTACTTTCATAGAAAATGCCCTGATAGCTATTGCATTCTCTGTCTACAGAGGTGAACACATGTCAATTTTAAAAGTCCAGCTCAGAAGAAAGTCGATTAATAAATCACCAGGCACGTTGTCTTTGAAAATATATCAATATAAATCCTCAGTTGAGTTGGGTGGAGTATAGTATGACATCACAGAACTCGGGGCATTTATATGCATGCTCTGTCCTCATCTTCAGCAGCCAAGGCAGAGTTCCAGTACTGATGGTACCGGTCAAAATCTGGTTATTTGTCCTTCGTGCCTTTCCTCTAAGGGTAGAGAATTAGCCAGACCCTCTGGTCACAACCAGGTGCCTTTTCTCTCCAGGTCATAATAATCTTCCATATATACTGATTCCTTTACTTGTTACCAATGGGCCTTGACCACATCTGCCTTGCCATGTAGCAATTCACCACCTTTTGGTGCAGATCTAGCTAATATAAATGTAAGATTATGTATCGTATATTATATAAGGTCAGGTGTAAGAGGGAGCTTAATAAGCGGACACCTTGTTCAAATGCTCAGTAGTAAAAAAAATCTAATTATAAATATGCTCTGAAATATGCTGTCTCGTCTTCGCATACACTGTTGTAAACTCTTTCGGAAAGTTCTGGTTGTTGGTCAACTTACTTCTTGACTTTAGTCTTGTTCCAGAACTTGAGTTCTGGGAGCGTATCCACTTTACAGAGCTGGTATATTTGTAGGTAGAAGATTCAGTCATCTCCTTTAGTACAATAGAAATAAACTCACAGGGAGCAAGTACAGCAGGGATCTACCAGTCATCAGTAGAAGTTATCCTCGTCGACAAGTGTTTCGGCCCACGATTCCTAGACACTTTCGGAGGTGGGCCCACCTGAGTTCATGAAGCTCAGGGCTGGTAACCTGCTGCACGAAATTACCGGATGGTGTTTTTCAAATGGAATCCAAAATACGAAAGAAACACTCTTAATTAGTCGGTTTTTACCTCAGTCGTGTATGCGCAACTGTGAGTGTCTTCCCTCCTTCCGCCACTTTCCCAAATGGGGCCTCAGAGCCCGCATAAGGAGAAAGGTAAATTAACATAATAATACTTTTAAAAAATGGACATTGTCTTCAGAAGACAGATGGAAAATAGTCTCTCTCTCTCTCTCTCTCTCTCTCTCTCTCTCTCTCTCTCTCTCTCTCTCTCTTTCTATCTCTCACACACACACACTCACACACACACACACACACACTCACACACACACACTCACACACACACACACTCACACACACACTCACACACACACACTCACACACACTCTCACACACACACACTCACACACACACACACATACACTCACACACGCACACACTCACTCACACACATACACACTCACACTCACACATACTCACACACACACTCACACACACACACTCACACACACACACACACTCACACACACACACACACACACACTCACACTCACACACACACATGCACACTCACACACACACACACTCACACACACACACACACTCACACACACACACACTCACAACACACACACACACACTCACACACACACACTCACACACACACACACTCACACACACACACACTCACACACACAAACTCACACACACTCACACACACACACACACACACTCACACACACACACACACTCACACACCTAAAAGTCCCTCTTCCACGCACTTAGGCGTATTGAGAATATAGGGCTAGACTTATATTTTTTAGACCAATCAGCACTTGGTTAGTGATGTGGCCAGCATCACGCCAGCAGCCTTTACTTCCCAGGACTGCACTTGGTACCCACTCAAGGCTGGGTCAACCTGGGCGTCAAGGTCATTGTTGGGGGGGGGGGGAAGTCCGGCCCCGCTAGGACGCGAACGCACGACGCCAACACCTCGGCGACTCCCCGTACTCACATACACACACACACACACACATACACACACATACTCACACACATACACACATACTCACACACACACATACTCACATACTCACACACATACTCACATACATACACACACATACTCACACACACAAACACACACATACACACACACATACTCACACACACATACACATACATACACACACATACTCACACACACATACACACACACACATACACACACACACCCGCTTGGGTGCGCGCGCATATGCTTTTGTAATGTATATTTATGTTTATGTAAAACGAGGAAAGGCTGACTTACAAACGATGATAACAGAACTAGTACTGAACTGTTTCGTAGACAACACATGAGATGGTTTGGCAATGTAACAAGATGGGCATCACAGAGAGCAGTGTCATACAGATACAGCTTAAACAGATCCAGAGGTCGACCATACAAAATATGGACCACAGAAATATCAGACAAAATAGGAAGCCACTGTATACGAAGAAACCTGAAGAGCCCGTTCAAAAGATTTCTTCCTGCCCTGACGGTACGAGGCCTTCCAGGAGTAGAGAATAGAAGAAGAAGAAGAAGAAGAAGAAGAAGAAGAAGAAGAAGAAGAAGAAGAAGAAGAAGAAGAAGAAGAAGAAGAAGAAGAAGAAGAAGAAGAAGAAGAAGAAGAAGAAAAAGGAAGAAGAAGAAGAAGAAGAAGGAAGAAGAAAAAGGAGGAAGAAGAAGAAGAAGAGGAAGAAGAAGAAAAAGATTTAAATATGAAATATGAATGACAAAATGGTATATTTACTTACGCTGAAACGAATTTTGAAGCTGAAAGTCTCCTGAAAAGATAAATGGGTGTTGGGTGTGTGGTCGATATAATCTTTCCTGCATTATAACACGAAGTTGATTTGTGGTTACTTATTAAGTGGTTAGATAGCTTGTTAGATTCGATTGAACCACCGGGTTCAATCCGAGGTAAAGGCTGGGATTTTTTCTCGTTGCCATAGACTTCTAGTAATTCCCCCTGGTCTCTGGGTTGTGACATCGGATTCCCAGGTGCATTGTTGTGCACGTAAAAAAAATTCCTTGGCAGTTGGAAATGGAAAAGAGAACCCTAACGGCGCAGCCCGGGCAAAATTTTGTGTTAAAAATCTACCCACAGTATTTCAGGATCCCCACCGGTTCTACAGAGCCTGTGCACTCTGCTGAGCTTCTTGGGATTCAGACTTGAGTTAGAAGAAGAACGGAGATCTTATGGGTTCCTACCCGTGTGACATGATGTTGATCCGTTGTTAAACGCCTCAAATCCTTAAAGCTAACGAGTTTTGGATTGTCGGTCGGATGGTTAGTTGACTCGAAATGGCTGGTTGATTGACTGATTCGCTGATTGGTTGATTGGTGGGTTGGCTGGTTGACAGATTTGTTGACTAGTGAGTTGGGTAACTGGTTGGTTGTTGACTAGTTGGTTATCTGGCTAGTTGACTAGTTGGTTGGTGGGTTTGTTGACTGGCTGACTAGCCAGTCGGTTGGTTGACCTAATTTTTTGGTCACTTAGCTGATATGTTGGTTGTTTGGTTAATTGACCGGTCGGTTAGTTGCGTGTTCTGTTGGTTGCTTAGTTATTAGTTGTTTGGTGGGTCGGTGAGTTGGTCGGGTTGATAGTTGCTTGGTTGATTGGTTGACTAATTGACTAACTTATTGAGTAGTGTAAATGCTTTGTATCTTTGCTTTGCTGATCTGGGGTGAAGTCGCGTATACTATTTTAGAAGCAGATGAAGAAAAAGAAGAAGAAGAAGAAGAAGAAGAAGAAGAAGAAGAAGAAGAAGAAGAAGAAGAAGAAGAAGAAGAAGAAGAAGAAGAAGAAGAAGAAGAAGAAGAAGAAAAAGAAGAAGAAGAAGAGAAGAAGAAGAAGAAGAAGAAGAAGAAGAAGAAGAAGAAGAAGAAGAAGAAAAAAAAAGAAGAATACAAAGAAGAGGAATAAGAAAAGAATAAGAAGAAGAACAACAACAACAGCAGCAACATCAACAACATTAAGAACAATAATAATAATAAAAACATAAACAACAACACGAACAAGAAGATTGTATAAAACGAATAATTTAAAGATAATGTTAAGAAGACGTGACTGTCAAGTCTTGTGAAAGACATTGAAAGATAATTGGACAATGAACCAGAACAGAAGAGAACTTTCTAACAAAATGTCTCTAACCTGCCTAACGTCGCGACCCTTCAACAAGTCCCCCCTCCCCCCCCCTCCCCCCTCATGTTGTGGCGACCCCTGTGAAAGGCTGTTCGACCTCTCCCCCCCCCCCCCCCACTCATGTTGTGGCGACCCCCAGATGATGATTTTCCTTTATAACGTCAATGAATATGT